CCTCCTTTGTGTCTGTCCCCTTCCCATCACAGTTTTTTTTTTCAAGACAGAAAATTAAAGTATGTTTACATGCTGATATAAACAAGAGTTTCAAAAGGAAAATGGCTCAATGCTTTCCTGTAGGCAAGGAATGGAAGCTAACATAGGAGGGGGTGACAAGAATGGAGCACATTAAGTCCAATTATAATTAAAGAATATATGGGAGCAAAAATACAGACAGGCTGGCAGGTGGCATGGAAATTCCTTTCTGATGGCCTCCACTTGGCTGACAGAGGCAAGGGAAGAAAATGTTGCAGGTTTGACAAGTTTTAATATACTAGTGGCCTAACAAGGTGTATGGGGACTATAGAAATGAAGTTTGTGATCACAAACTTAGAAAGTAGCAACCATGACAACGTTGTGTGTTCCTCCAGCCCCATTCAGCCCAGGTGAACATTCAGAGATGAATTTAAACCACCAGTGGGTTTTCTCTATTCAGATCACCTCCTTACGGTGGTCTTTTCTGAGGCTATATCCTAATCACTCCAATATTAGGTATTGTTAATTCACCTATCAGATTCTTTTAGTTATATAACTCACCTGTGTCCTCCCCATTCCCTTTGCACCTGCTCAGGTGTTCTTCCCCCAACTGCCCAATGGAAGGCAAGAAACGTGTCTGTACTCTCCAGCCCTACTCCTGAACCTAAAACAGTGGCTTAATCATACTACTGTGTTTGCGAAATAACATTTAATTATGGAAATCCGTATGGAGATTCATCAAATCCGTAAAAAAAGTGATGTAGGGGAAAGATATTTATGGTAATATAAGCAAAATTACACTATCAAGGGTAAATGTCTTTTACAAAGGAAGAAAGCCTGCGCATATATATATATATATATATATATATATATATATATATATATATATATATATATATATATATATATGGGTAGGTCCTGGGGCTTGAATATATATAGAGAATATATATATTGAATATATATATTGCCTGTGCAATATATATATGGGTAGGTCCTGGGGCTTGAACTCGGGGCCTGGCAGCGCTGTCCCTGGGCTTTTCGCTCAGGGCTAGCATGCTACCATTGGGCCACGAGAGAGAGAGAGGAGAGAGAGAGGGAGAGGGGAGAGAGAGAGAGAGAGAGAGAGAGAGAGAGAGAGAGAGAGAGAGGAAAAAAAAAATCTCTCGGGCTTTCCTGCCCACCCTGGCTTCGAACCATGATCCTCAGATCTCAGCCTCCTGAGTAGCTAGGCTTACAGGCGTGAGCCACCAGCGCCCGGCTCCCGTAATTCGTGACAACGACCCTCCAGTGTTAAGTCTGGGGACAGAAACTCGAACGCAAGGCTCCGGCAACGTTTCTAACCCTGAGGGCCACGCCTTCCAAGCCAGGGCCGCAGGCTCTCCACCCCGACCCGACCCGACCCGCGCCAAGGGCTGGGGAGAGGGGGACCCCGACCGCACACCCGAGCTTTTCTGCAGTGCGGCACGGGTCCGGCCGGCCCTAGCTCCCGAGCTTCCACCGCTCGGGGCCACCGGAGTCATCCTGCTACCTGAGCCCTTGGAGCCCGCCCGTCCCGCCACGCCCGCTAGTCCACCCCACTCCGCCTCGAGCTCAGGCGGCGAGCGGGGACTCGGTCCTCGCCCCACGACCCTATCAGGCCGGTCCCCTCAGCGCCGCTGCCCACTCCCGACGCCCAAGTGCCCCTCACCTGCGACAACATGGCGGCCCGGCGCCAGCCTCACTTCCGGGAGCCACGTCAGCGCAGCAGCCGCCGAGTCCGGTGTGCAACTGACGCAGCCTCGTCACCACTGGTCGGGAAGGGTCTACCTACAAGCTCCAGCCCGGCCCCGCTTCCTCGCTACACTTCCGCTCCGAGCAGCGCAGCGGCAGGAACAACTCCACAGAGCTAGAAGAGCAGCCGCGAGGTGGTTCCGGGGCGAGGCAAATAGTGCGCGGCGCCTTCCGGGGGCGTGCTGTTCAGCGGGGCGGGGCGAGGGCGGGGCGAGGGCGGGGCGAGGGCGGGGCGAGGGCGGGGCGAGGGCGGGGTGAGGGCGGGGCGAGGGCGGGGCGAGGGCGGGGCGAGGGCGGGGCGAGGGCGGGGCGAGGGCGGGGCGAGGCGGAGGAGCGCAGAATCTATAGGAAAAGAACTCTGTTCCCAGAGAAGGCATGAATCCGCTAGGATAGGAGCAACCTCTAGCATGGTCGTTCTGAGTGCGAGAGATGGGGCTTGAGTCCATTCTTTTCCTTTTGTTTTCTTTTGCCAGTCCTGGGGCTTGAACTCAGGGCCTGGGCACTGTCCCTGAGCTTCTTTTGCTTAAGGCTAGCCCTCTACCACTTGAGTCACAGCGCCACTTCTGGTTTTTTCTGTTTCTGTGGTACTGAGGAATTGAACTCAGGGCTTCACACATGCTAGGCAAGCACTCTACCACTAGGTCACATTCCCAGCCCACCATCATTTAACTTTTTATATTTTATAATGACATGTATCTCTGTACAGTATTACGTTTTGCGCTTTACTTTTATTATTTTTTGGCTGAGACTGGGACTCAAACTCCGCACCTGACGTTTTCGCTCATTAGCTGGCCCTCTACCATTTGAACCACGCCTCTAACCGCTAGATTTTTTTTTTGGTCCGGTTGTGGGGCCTGAACTCTGGGCCTGGGCGCTGTCCCTCAGCTCTATCAGCTCAAGGCTAGCGCTCTACCGCTTGAGCCACAGCACCACTTCCGGCTTTTTTCTTTGTGCTTATGTGATGCTGAGGAATTGAACCCAGGTTCTTCAGGCGTGCAAGGCAAGCGCTCTACCACTGAGCCACCTTCCCAGCCCCCTAGATTTTATTTTTGTCAGTCGTGGGGCTTGAACTCTGGACCTGAGCTCTGTCCCTGAGCTCTTCAGCTCAAGCCAAGCACTCTACCACTTGAGCCACAGTACCACTTCTGGTTTTCTAGTGCCTTATTGGAGATAGGAGTTTCATGGACTTTCCTGCCCAGGCTGGCTTTGAACCATGATCTTCAGATCTCAGCCTCCTGAGTAGCTAGGATTATAGGCGGTGAGCCACCAGCCCCCGGCTAGATTTAATTTCTTAATCAGGTAACTTAAAGAGATAGATGGAATTGGAGAGATCAAGAGAATGATGGGAGGGGTGATATTGATCAAGATGCATTGTTCTTATAAATTGATACATTGAAATGAAACCCTTCCATACAACTAAAGATAATTTAAAAAATAAGTACTGATGAACCCCCTCAAAAATTCACATTTCTTTAATGTGCTCTTGGGATGGGGTAGAAAGTTAATACAAATAAGGCAAGAGCATTCCAGCATAAACAATGGAGATCATTCTTTTGGGAGGGAAATAACCTGACACTCCAGGAAACTAAAGAATAAAAATTGATACTGGCTAATACAGCGTTACGGTGTCTGGGTTTCAGCCCTGTCTTTTTTTTTTTTTTAACCAATTATATTCACCATGATATACTCCTCGATTCCAAAGTGAGGATAATGATGCTATTTTTTGCAAGATATTTACTAAATGGGAGTTGTCTTTATTGCTGTAAAACCCAGTTGCTAATGGTATGATCATGCCTGAACCTCAAATTCAGGGACTTCAATCTTTGGAATTGTGATAATAGCAATATTCTATCTGTTCAACCTAAGTCTGACTGCTGTTAGAGTGAAATAATTTGTATTCTCACATTTCCTTAACTGGAGGACTCTTTTAATTAAAACACAGATTTTATAGCACTATTTCAGATAGTGAAGAAACAAGCACACAACTACCCAAAAGAAAGAAAGCCTGGTAAGGCAATTGCATGTTTGTGCTTGAAAATAGACAGCTGAACTATTTTTTGGTGTCCTACTCAGTGTTGCAGGGTTTTATAGAGTTGTGGGAATTTTAAAAAACCTTTTATATGCATTAAATTTGTATTCATTACCATCCTTTAAATTTTTAGAGCACTTGATTAAAAAAAAAAAAAAAGGCCTGAATTTCAGACTTTTGGCTTTTTCAGTAATAGAGTTTAAAAATAGCCCAGACTGGCCTCAGGCTCACCATGTAATCCAGGTTGGCCTTCAACTTTCAATTCTCTTATCCCCTTACTTTAGCCTCTCAAGTGGAGTGCAGGATCAAAAATGTGCACTGCCATGCCAGGGTCTGGCCTATGTATGTGTTTCCACTCAGTGCCTGGCCACTATCCCTTACCTTTTTGCTCAAGGCTGGTGCTCTGCCACTTGAGCCATAGCTCTGGCTTTTTGCTGGTCATTGGAGTTAAGAGTTTCATAAGCTTTCCTGTTCAGCTGTCTTCAAACTTCAGTCCTCAGATCTCAGCCTCCTTGGTAGGTAGGATTATAGGTATGGGCCACCAGCACCTGTAGTTAGCTTTTTTTCTGGGTTAACTGAGCCTCTGAGTAGGAGATATGACTTTAGTATGTGGCTTGAGCTCTCCAATCTGCCACAGTCCCTGTGGTTGGCTACTTTCTAATAAGTTACCTGCCGGGTCCCTAACACTGCTCTTCAAGAATTTAAGTAAACTTTTGTACACTAGATATTAGTGGCCTTCTTTGTAGAGAGGATGAATATACTTTATTCTCTTCCAAAGGAGTTAGTTTTGACAAGGCAAAGCTCACAAAATGCAATAGGTCAACCTGTTGAGGCCTTCCTACTTTTAGAACATTACCCAAACCATAGACTTCTATGCAAAAATAACAGGAAATACCAATGGATTACCTTGCTGGTATTGATGAAAGGCAACATCTAATTTCCAATAATCACCTTCTCACTCCCTCATCAATGAAATGGGACTTACCTGAATGAGACCTATGAGGATACAGGTGCCAATTTCTTCCTGTCTCCTTCTGTTTTCTTCCTTTAGTAATTTTTTTTTAGGTTCATGGGAAAATGATTAGGAATTTCTATGTTAATAACCAAGGAACTGTCAAAGAGAGAGAGAGAGAGAGAGAGAAAGAGAGAGAGAGAGAGAGACCAAACACTAACACATTTTTTTTGTAAGACATGGTAATTTCCCAAGGCTAGTTTAGATAAATACGTTTTCTCCAAGTTCAGGGGCTGCTATTTTCCCTTGCTTCATGAAGTCATCAATAGGTAGACCTTTAGTCTTCAAGATCCATGCAGCTTTGCTCTTTTTTCCTGGATCTACAACTTTAGTCGACTGACTGTCCTTAAACGCCTTTATCTTGGCTTCCTCATACTCTTTCTCTTCTTTCACAGTCATCAGCATGAATTCCGTGTTTGTGCGAAGAGGATCTAGGTTTGTGTAGAAGCGAGGCCGTTCTTTCTTGAGAGGCAGGGTGCTAGTACTTATTTGTGGAACTAGTATTCGGTTGGGTTTAATGACCTGCATGCTGGTCAGAGGGCCTATACTACGGACTGCCCCTTCGATTGAACTGGTAAATGGTTCTTTACTCAAGCTGCCATAGAACCTGGAGATAATCATGGGCTGGGGTATGGTAGACTGAACACTGGGACTGTGCAAAGAGTTTTTCAAGTTGGGCTGCAGTTTCTGGATTTTAAGGGGTATATTGGTTTGTTTCACATCTAGAAAAGGATTGCTTGACTTCAACTTATCAACTGCATGTTGAATTGATTTTCCTTTGAAATTTAGGACCTTCCTTGGATATGAAATTGAAGATTGCAAGTCATCAATGGTTTGGATTTGGGGCCTGTGAGGATAAGCAAATTCCTCAGAATTGTGGGCTTTTTGCAGAGCATTGACAGTCAAGAGGAACCGGTCAGGTGTCATCGGGATTTTCCATGACTTTTTCTTTGACTGATTGATCAGGTCAATGGAAGTTTTCATATCTGTATTTTCAGACAGAAAAGAAAAAAGGAAATCAGCATTCTGTAAAATATATTAAGTAATTAGTCATGAAAACTGAAGCATTCTAATTGCCTCTCATCTTGAGGTCTTGGTGCTGAACGGACATGGATCAGCAGGGCAAAAATCCCTGAAGATGTTAGACATGAGCAGAAGAATGATCGAACAAAGTAAGTTCTTAACAAATATGCTAGCACTTATGAAAAGACTAGCCTCTAGATGTGCTTTTTTTTTTTTTGTCAGTCCTGGGTCTTGAACTCAGGGCCTGGGCACTGTCCCTGAGCTCCTTTGTTCAAAGCTAGTGCTCTACCACTTTGAGCCACAGCTCTACTTCTGGTGTTTAGGTGGTTAATTGGAGATAAGATTCTCATGGACTTTCCTGCCCAGGCTGGCTTTGAATGGTCATCCTCAGATCACAGCCTCCTTAGTAGCTATGATTACAGGTGTGAACCACCAGTACCCAGCTTAGATGCACATAATTTTGAAAAAAAATATAAATAGTTCCAGTGTCCTACATCTTTCTGAAACTTCCCATGGAAATGACTTTCACATTTCATTTATGATTCACACAAAACAGACCTTTTTGGTTTTTGTTTTTTGTTTTTTGTCAGTTGTGGGCCTGAACTCTGGGTCTGGGCGCTGTTCCTCAGCTCTTCAGCTCAAGGCTAGCACTCTACCACTTGAGCCACAGTGCCACTTCTGGCTTTTTATTTTCTGCTTATGAACCCAGGACCTTATGCATGCAAGGCAAGCACTCTACCACTGAGCCACCTCCCCAGCCCACAAAACAGACCTTATAGAGTTATAATAACATGTCTAATTTCTAAAAGTAATTATATCACAAAGTTTAAATCCCATTGGCTCATTGATTTCTTACATGTTTCAAAACTCAGACCTGCCTTCAATGAGTATGTTACACCTAGATAGTGCAGAACATAGCAACATGACTAAAGTAAGTTTTTAAAGATGAATTCCCACAATGTTTTGAGCAATAGCACTGGGTCCAAAATCAACTAGCCAAAACAAGAATTCTTTTAGTATATCACTTTATGGTCAAGGCTTCCATAATATCTAAGACCATTAAGTTAACAAGGATATCGTCACAGGTAAGCAAATCTATATTATCTCTGTCTCTTAAGGCTCTCAATCCCTACAATAGCTCACAGAAACTCTGAAAACATTTTTTTTTCATTTCCAAATAGAGTTAAAAAAAGTAAAAGTCATTTGCCTAAGTTGAACCCCAAGCTATGCCAGCAAATATAATGTAGCAGTGAATTATGCATATAAACTCCTTTGGCTAAATGGGTTTTATCCCAAGGTGGACAGATTAGGTGGAATGAAACTTCAAAGCACCCTCCCCTGACATTTTATTTTTAATTAAACAATCATATATATATATATATATATACATACATGCATATATACATATATGCATATATACATATATATGAGTAAAGTAAGATGACAACAAATTCTTATCCTCTGGTGTGGCCCAAGTGGAAGAGCTCTTGCCTAGAAAATGTGAGGCCCTAGGGAGCTGGGAATGTGGCTTAGTGGTAGAGTGCTTGCCTAGCATTCATGAAGCCTTGGGTTTGATTCCTCAGTACCACATAAACAGAAAAAGCCAGAAGTGCCACTGTGGCTCAAGTAGTAGAATGCTCAAGCAAAAGAAGCTCAAGGATAGTGCTCAGGCCCTGAGTTCAAGTCCTAGGCCTGGCAAAAAGAGAAAAAAAAGGTGAGGTCCTGAGTTCAATCCCTAGTACCTCCTTTCCAAATCCCCTCTGCTTCCAAACCTGAAAAACACAGAACTCCTTTTATGAAAAAGGAATTTTGCTGAGTTATTTGGTAATTAATTTGTCTTTTTTCACAGGCTAATAAATCTTATATCTCTTTCCAAGTCAATACAGAAATAGATATTAATCATCCAATTGTTAGCTGTCTTGTAATATTCCATATCCACTGATAAGCATTTATTCTTTTTTGTTGTTGTCAGTTGTGGGGGTTTAACTCTAGGCTTGGACACTGTCCATCAGCTCTTTAGCTCAAGGCTAGCGCTCTACCACTTGAGCCACAGCGCCATGTCCGGCTTTTTCTGCTTATATGGTGCTGAGGAATTGAACCCAGGGCCTCATGCATGCAAGGCAAGCACTCTCTACCACTGAACCATCTTCCTAGCCCGATAAACATTTATTTTGTTGATGATCAACCCTAAATAAATGTATCTTTACTTGATATCATTTTTACTGTTATTTTTAGATGATTATATTAATGATAGCCAGTGTTGGCATGGATATGGGGGGGAGCATTCTCATGCATTGTTAGTAGGAGCGTAAATTAATAACTACACTTTAAAGAATCACAGCAATATCTTTCTAGTTCGTGTGTATGTGTGCGCACGCCAGTCCTGGGAGTTGAGCTCAGGCCTGGATGCTTTCCCTGAGGTTTTTTTTGCCCAAAGCTAGAGTTCTACCACTTGAGCCATAGCTCCACTTTCAATTTTTTTGTAGTTAATTGGAGATAAGAGTCTCAGAGGCTTTCTTGCCCAGGTTGGCTTCAAACCACAATCCTCAGATCTCAGACTCCTGAGTAGCTAGGGTTGCAGGTTTGAGCCACTGGTGCCTGGCTTTCATTTTTGGTATGTGTGCTGGTCCTAGGGCTTGAACTCAGGGCCTGGGCACTGTCCCTATGATTTTGTGCTCAAGGCAAGTGTCTATCACTTGAGTCAAAGCTTTTTTTTGGTAGTTAATTGGAGATAAGAATCTCATGAACTTTTCTGCCTGGGCTGGCTTTGAGCCATAATATTTAGATCACTACCTACTGAGTAGCCAGTAATACAGTTGTGAACCACAGGCAAACAGCTCATTGGTACTTCAAATAAAATCCCCATTGCCTTCACCCTTTCCCTTATAACAACCACTACAAATCGTTTCTCCTTCCTCATGAAGTCCCCTGTAATGAGTCTGACCCCCTTGTCTCTCTTCTGCTGTGTCATTTACTCAGACTGATGATACAAAGTGGCACCAGAAGTGAGAAGACAGGATGACAGGGAATAGAGGCAGGCTATGAGCCAGAAGCTAGAAAGGAAAGTTTTGCTGCGTGATCTCAAGCTTGTATAGGGACAAGAAACCAGTTTCTGTTAGGATAAACAGATGGAAACAAGTTACTCTTAGAATCAGGCATTGTATACATTCTAAAAGAAAAGGTATTAGTGTTGAGAACCAAGATTAAAGGTGTGAGAGGATGAAAAGGAAGAAATTAGATTTTGTTATTAATTTAGAATAAAGCATCACCAAGAATACTATCTTCATCCTTGCATTCTGCTCCCAAATTCTCTTGCACAATATCCTTGACACCTGTTTTCTTGCCATCTTTAAGAGATGATTTGTCTTTTCCTTGGCTTTCAGTTGACACTGTTGACACAGCTAAATTAGGATAGAACAAACAATAGTCAGTATATAATTCAGTTATGTCTGAACAATGGGGTAACCACTAATACAATCAGTAATACTCAGGGTTCTTAACAACTGATACTTTTACCCCAAATATCACTGTATCACTACTGTCACATGAAATTAAGTAGTAACCTGAAGTCTATGCTCTGGGTCACATCCTGACTCACCTCTCACACACTTTTCCTACTGATTATTATGTCTTAAACATCCTCCAAAACTCTTGGTTCCTCAAGTAACAGCTGACTACTTATAGTGTGATATGCTTGCAGATCATCTATTAGTGTTTTCTATAGATCTGTGGATCCAATTTCATGCAGTATATAGGGCAGGTCAAAGGAGAAACTCTTGGTAATGTAAGCCACATATAATTCAGTTGTGTGTGTGTGTGTGTGTGTGTGAGAGAGAGAGAGAGAGAGAGAGAGAGAGATTCAGAGAGACAGACAAAAGACAGAGAGACACAGTGTGTGTGTTCTTTTTTTTTATTGTGACAATACTGTACAGGGCTGGGAAGGTGGCTCAGTGGTAGAGCGCTTGCCTTGCATGCATGAGGCCCTGGGTTCAATTCCTCTGGCACCAGATCAGCAAAAAAGGAAAAAAAAAAAGGAAGTGGCGCTGTAGCTCAAGTGGTAGAGCACTAGCCTTGAGCTGAAGAGCTGAAGGACAATGCCCAGGCCCAGAATTGAGGCCCCATGACCGGACCAAAAAAAAAAGAAAGAAAGAAAATACAGTACAGAGGGGTTACAATTACATGGGCAAGATAATAAGTACATTTCTTATCAAGCATTGTAGCCTCGTGCTTTGTTTCCCCTTCCCATCCTTCCCATCCTTCCCTCAACTCCCCCCCCAATCCTCCTCCCCCTCCTCCACCAAAGTTGTAAAGTTCGTTTTCGATATAACGACTTGTACATCTCATTGTTGCAATGGGTCCACCTGTATCCCTATTTAAACTATTTGTTTTTTCCCTTCCCCTCCACAAATTATACCATCAAATACAGTGAAAGCAGGGGTTATACCTTGAGGGAGGGACATACAAAGCAACAAAGAGATAATCTTATAAATGTGTTAGAAACAATCGCATGAAAGAAAAAAAAAACATTTGAATACATATCTTAGGGTTCATTTCCCTAACATCAACTTATCTGACCTTTTCTGCTTGACTCAGATATATACTAGTTATTGCAAATAAGGGAAACCATGGGACCTACGTTTCTTTGGGCCTGGCTTACTTCACTTAATATAATTTTTTCCAAGTCTTTCCATTTCCTAACAAATGGGGCAATGTCATTCTTTCTGATGGAGGCATAGAATTCCATTGTGTATATATACCACATTTTCTTGATCCATTCATCTACTGAGGGGCATCTGGGTTGGTTCCATATCTTAACTATGGTAAATAATGCTGCAATGAACATAGTTGTGCTGGTAGCTTTAGTGTGGTCTTGTTTGTGAACATTTGGGTAAATGCCCAAAAGTGGGATTGCTAGGTCATAGGGGAGCTATGAGCAACCTCCATACTGCTTTCCAAAGTGGTTGAACAAGTTTACATTCCCACCAACAATGCAGTAAGGTTCCCTTCTGTCCATATCCCCTCCAGATTCTGTTGTTATTAGAGTTCTTGATTATAGCCATTATAACTGGGGTGAGGTGGTATCTCAATGTTGTTTTGATTTGCATTTCTTTTATGGCTAGGGAGGTTGACCATTTCTTCATGTGTCTATTGGTGATCCTTCTTTCCTCTTCAGAGAAGTTTCTCTTTAAGTCTTTAGCCCACTTATTTATTGGGCAGTTGTTTCTTTGAAGATTTGTTGTTGGGGGATTTAATTTTTTGAGTTCCAGGTATATTTTAGATATGAGACCCTTGTCCGTTGTATGGCTAGTGAAGATTTTCTCCCAATCCATGGGCTGTCTATTGATCTTGCTAGCTATGTCCTTTGCCATGCAGAAGCTCTGCAATTTCATGCAATCCCATTTGTCCAGCCTTTCTTTTTTTCTTTTTTTTTTTTTTGGGGTCCGGTTGTGGGGCCTGAACTCTGGGCCTGGGTGCTGTCCCTCAGCTCTTCAGCTCTAGGCTAGTGCTCTACCACTTGAGCCACAGCGCCACTTCCGGCTTTTTTTCTTTTTTGCTTATGTGGCGCTGAGGAATCGAACCCAGGGCCTCAGGCATGCAAGGCAAGTGCTCTACCACTGAGCCAACTTCCCAGCCCCTTGTCCAGCCTTTCTTTGATTTGTTGTGTTTCTGGGTCTCTATTAAGAAAATTTCGGCCTGTGACAGTGTGTGTGTTCTGAGGCTTACTACTTGAGCCAGAGCTCCACTTTTGGCTTTTTAGTGGTTAACTGAAGTTTAGTGTATGGACTTTCCTGTCCTATCTGACTTTGAACTGCAATCCTCAGATCTCAGCTTCCTAAGTTGTTAGAATTATAGGCATGAGCCACCAGTAGCCTTGTTAATTCATTCTTTAGATGCCATAAATGGAATAAATCATGTGGTCAAGACCTTAGCCCTCACCTTCCCTATGCATTCACATACATACACACCTGTTTTATAACTGGTATCTTCCAGGTACATACATTATGTTTCAGAGATACAAAGAGAAAACATTCTCTAATACATTCTTAGAGCATGTTTTAACCTACAGTTTTCTGGTTTTTCCTTTTGTGGTATTAAGATGTGAACTCAAGGCTTTATGCTTGCTAGGCAAGTAGTCTACTATTGAGCCACACCTCCAATCTTATATTTTCACCTACTTCTTTTCTTTATCTTGAGGAAAAACTCTATGTATCTATATATAGAGAGAGTTGAATTTTGGATACAGTATTGGTTGCTTAGGATTTTAAAAATTATCTTCAAGAAGTAATATAAAGGAGGGCTGGGAAGGTGGCTCAGTGGTAGAGCGCTTGCCTTGCATGCCTGAGGCCCTGGGTTTGATTCCTCAGCACCACATAAGCAAAAAGAAAAAAGCTGGAAGTGGAGCTGTGGCTCAAGTGGTAGAGCGCTAGCCTTGAGCCGAAGAGCTGAGGGACAGAGCCCAGGCCCAGAGTTCAAGCCCCAAGACTGGACCCCAAAAAAAAAAAAAAACAACTCTTATCTCATTTGAAAGAAATAAAGTTTATTTAAAAAAAAAAAAGAAGTAATATAAAGGAGTTGCCATCCAAATGAAGCAGTTTATGGTTGCTTTTTTGTTTTGTTATTGTTTTAATGGTAAGCATTAAGGCTATTCTTATCTAACATATAAAGATTTGAATAAACTTGAAAATCTAAGGTGTGAAAATCAGATTTCCTTTAGCTACAAATTAATGGGAATGACGTCTGCTTTCCTAAAAGATTAAGATTTATAGTGCATGTTCACAATAGCTAGGATATGGAAACAACCCCGATGCCCCACCATAGATGAATGGATCCAAAAATTGTGGTATCTATACACAATGGAATATTATGCAGCCATTAGAAATGACAAAATAATGGCATTTGCAGGGAAATGGATGGAGCTAGAAGAAATCATGTTGAGCGAGGTAAGCCAAGAGCAAAGAGACAAACGGTACATGGTCTCCCTGATAAGTGGATGTTAAATCCAAAATGTTAGGTGATACGACAAAATTAACAAGACTTAAGAAACAAAGAACTTCCACTCATCTGGTTGAACCACTACTAAATATCCCCATGCTGCTGATCACATGTATGGTGTATATGTGTACACCATTATATGTTATAGACCGTAACAGACAATTTGCTCCAGGAAAGTTAGAATGAGCTTGTGACTTTAAATGAGCATCATTATTCCACAATACTGTGAAATTTGGGAAATTATGTAATCACTTAATCACAATTTAAAAAAAAAAGAACCTTGGGGAAGGTAGGGAGGGAAGGGATAGTAGGGGGAAAACAATGGAGGGGGTAACAATGCTCAATAGGAAGTGTACTCATTACCTCACTCATGTAACTGTAACCCTCTGTATAGTATCTTTACAATAAAAAATTTAAAGAAAAGATTTATAGTGCAAAGAAACCCTCAGTCAATCTATACAACAAAGAAACCAATCTAGCACCACCTTTCTAGTGATAGATTAGCTATCACTAATCTCCTTTACCTGATGCTGACTTGGATAGCTTCTCCGTAACACGGGACTTAGAAGTCTTTTTTGACTGTAACTCCTGGATCTCTGTGTGTTTACTAGGTCCAGAGTCTTTTAGGTTATGAAGACGAATGTTAGACTTGGAAACAATATCAAGGTTGATTTCTTCCTTTTCTTCCTCTTTCTCCTTCTTCTTCAGTTTAGTTCTTTCCTGGGAGTACTGCCACTTCACATTCTCAAAGTGGAACATGAGGATATTGCTCACTGTGTTTACCACCATCCTAGAACCAAAACAAGTTGCCCATGAAAGAGAAAGGCACATGGAGCCCTCCAAAATGTAAATTGCAAAGAGATAGACACACAGAGAGAGAGAGACAGTGAGAGAGAGAGAGAGAAAGAGAGAGAGAAATTGAAATATTATAGCTTAGTTACTTTCCGTTCCAAAGGCTGAAGTTTGAAGACCTGAATATATACCCCAGTAAAGTTTGTATTTAGGTTGGAAATTCTGGAATAAAACTCAAGGAATCGAATCCAATAAAGAGATCTCTTTCAGACTTATTTGTACTTTAGTATAAAGGAAATCATCTCAGGTGGGAGTATAATCCAAATTGAGAGGCAGAGGCTGAAGCAGTAGGATTGTGAGTTCAAGGTTAGCCTGGAGGTATATACTGACACTTTGTCTCAAAAAAAATTTTTTTTGCCAGTCCTGGGGCTTGAAGTCAGGGCCTAGGCACTGTCCCTGAACTTCTTTTGTTAAGGCTAGCACTCTACCACTTGAGCCACAGTGCCATTTCCAGCTTTTTCTGCTAACGTGGTAGGAATCGAACCCAGGGCCTCATGCATGCAAGGCAAGCACTCTACAACTGAGCCACCTTTCTAGCTCTCAGTTGTGCGTTGTCAGTTGTCAGTTGTCAGTTGTGAGGCTTGAACTCTAGGCCTGGGCACTGTTCCTGAGCTCTTCAGCTCAAGGCTAACGCTCTACCACTTGAGCCACAGTGCCACTTCTGGCCTTTTCTGTTTATATGGTGCTAAGGAATTGAATCCAGAGTCTCATGCATGAGAGGCAAGCACTCGACCACTGAGCCAGCTCCCCCACCCGTTTTTTGTTTTTTTTTTTTTTTTTTTAAGACAAATCATCTCTCTGGATGAAAAAGGGTGAGAACCAAGTGTTTTTGTTTGGGTATTGGGGTTAGAACCGGGGACCTCAGACATGTAGGCATGCAATATACCACAACCCTTTGTAGGATTATCACTTCTTAAATGAAAAGCAATCATTTGCTGAGCCTTATTGCCAGCATCTTGTTTTCCTTTAAGATGAACTTATAATGAACTTCCATTAAAGGTTAGGCAATATGGTTCAGAGACATTAAATGATGACTCAGGTGAGCCTGGAGAAGAGTTTGTAATTCTGTTTGGTTATTTTCTATACTGTCATGCTAAACCTATTCTTTTTTCTCTCTTTTTGTGCCTCACTGTCCCTGAACTTTTTTGCTCAAGGCTAGCACTCTACCACAGCTCCAAATCTGGCTATTTCAAGATTTTCCTGGGAGAAATCCTGGACACTCTCATCTCCAATTTGAACTGCTATTCTCATAACTCAGCCTCCTGAATAGATAGTATGACAAGTGTAAGCCATTGGTATCCTGGCTTGTAAAAGCTATCCTTATAAAACAAACACAGAAGCATATACAAATTCAGCCATCGTACTGGTGCACTTACTTGCTCAGCTCACCCTCACTAGACTCCCTGCTACTGTGACACAACTAGAAATTACATCAGAGACAGTTGATGGCACTCAGAGCTATTTGACATGTGATCAAAGAGTATTCAGAGGCTGCCTCTGAGCAGAACTATGGTCTTTAAAGAAGAACTATATTATACACTCATTGATTGAACACCCAGAAAGAATTCAGAATAAAAAATGAACTCCAGTAAGTTCTGTGCAAAGCACAATAGTCTCCCAAATGACAAAATCAAAAGGAAACATTGATACCTTGCTTCAGCTGATGATTCTAGACTAGTGTCCCAGAAGAGAAAAAAATCACCCAGAATTGATCATGGCTTTGACCTTTGCACTACCACTCACCTGTTGCCATGATAAAAGAAGGACAGCACAGGATCACCTCTGGCTTCGACTTTTATCAGTTTCAGACAGTTTCCATTGAGAAAATTGTAAATGCGTATCTTGCCATCTGCACAGGCGCTGATAACCCGGAGATAGAGAAGGGACACTTGCAGTACCTCCCTGGCAGGGAACAACACATTTAGGCAGTACCTACCTCTGGTAAGCTGCTTAGGTTTGCTTGTACTTTGAGTATTTTTTTATGTGGCTGGGAGACAGTGGCCACAGAACTGGTGTTTCTCACATTCTACAAACTAGATATAAACCATTAACATTCAGACAGACCTTTTCTTGTTCTGTAGTTACCGCATTTCTGCAAACTTAGTCATAGGGACACAGATGACAAAGCAAAAAAGGCTGCTGTCATTGTTTGAAGGCAAATTTGATGCCTAACTATTTACTTACACAAAAAGTCATATGAAGAATCATTCAATGTTGTTTTTGTTTTGTGCTGGTACTAGGGCTTGAACTTGGGGCCTAGACTCTGTTTCTTAGCTTTTTTGCTCAAGCCTGGCACTCTACCACTTCAGCTACAGTTCCACTTCTGTCTTTTTCTGAGTAGTTTATTGGAGGTAAGAGTCTCAGACTTTTTTTTTTTTGGTTGGTTGTGGGGCTTGAACTCTGGGCTTGGACGCTGTCCCTGCGCTCTTCAGCTCAAGGTATACGCTCACCACTTGAGCCACAATGCCACTTCTAGTTTTCCAGTGGTTTATTGGAGATAAGAGTCTCATGGACTTTCCTGCTGGCTTTGAACCGCGATCCTCAGACCTCAGCCTCTAAGCAGCTAGGATTACAGGTGTGAGCCACCAGCGCCTGTCTCAGACTTTTCTGCCCAGGCTGGCTTTGAACCTCTATCCTCAGATCTCACCCTTCTGAGTAGCTAGGATTACAGATAAGAACCACTGGTGCCTGTCTCATTCAGTGTTTTGATTCCTTCTGAATAGGATTCCTAGAAGAAGAAATTAAAAAAGAAAACAGTAGGGAAAAGGATTATATAAAACAAAAATCTTAAACTGGGTAGTATCATTTTGGACTTAAATTAGTGGCTTTAATTCTTTCAGCAAATAAATATTAATAAGAAAAATTGTACCCCAGATTAGATTTATGGGTGTCCCCTTGAGATGCTCAGTAGGAAAGGGAGAGACTAGGAGAAGACTTAGAAAGATGTCTTCAATAAAATTCTTATGACAGCTGGATGCAATTTGGGACCCAGATGTATGGCTTATTCAATCCTGACAAGCCTAATAACTATTTCTGGAGATGAACCCAGGACCTCAAATATGCTAAGCAATGCTCTACTACTAAGCTCCCCTAGCTTTCAGCAATATTATTACTTGTTAGCAGGCTTCAATATAACTTTACTGAGAAGGTGATTGTTTCTGTTTACAGAGTATGATCATTGGTACAGAGTGTTCAACAAAGAATGGCATCTGACTCAAACCACTGGCTTTAGTGCTAGTCAAATTTCAGAGGCAGATAAGGATTTGGCAAGGCCTTGGCCACTAACAAGAGAGAAAAATCAAAGACTGCAAAAGACAGAATTTGCAGTCTTTGATTTTTCTCTCTTGTTAGTGGCCAAGGCCTTGCCAAATCCATATATATACAGCAAGAAGCACAATGTGGCTTGAATCCTCCTTATGTAGTGGATGGATGGATGGATAAATACTTAGGTAGATAGATAGGTAGGTAGATAGATAAGATAGATAGGATTGATAGAAGTTCTGGCTTTTTCTTTTTGTTGGCAGGATGGTTAATTTGAGATAAGAATTTCATGAATGGGCTGGGAAGGTGGCTCAGTGGTAGAGCACTCACCTTGCATGCTTGAGGCCCTGGGTTGGATTCCTCAGCACCACATAAGCAGAAAAAAAGAAGCTGGAGGTGGTGCTGTGCTCAAGTGGTAGAGTTCTAGCCTTGAGCTAAAGAGCTGAGGGACAGAGTTCAGGCCCAGAGTTCAGGCCCCACGACCGGACCCAAAAAAAAAAAAGAATTTTATGGACTTCTGCCCAGGCTGGTTTTGAGCCATGATCCTCAGATCTCAGCCTCCTGAATAGTGAGGATTACAGGGGTGAGCTACCAATTCCCAGCAGTTGGTACCTTTCCTAAGGACAGCTTATTCTTCCTATGAGTAGTCATGTACTAGGAGAGAGACACCCTGGGAAGGAAGGGTTCAACACTTTGTGTGTCTCTTTCATCTTTGTTGAGCTGGGCCTATATTTTGCATAGGATCTTGTGACATTTGGTCATTTAATTTCTATCATTGAAAAGACTACTGATGAAAAGAACAGGCTTTGGCGTCAGAAAATCTTGGATTGAGCCAGGCATGGTAGCTCATGTCTATAATCTCATCTAGCAGGAGGCATTATTGGAACAATCAAGGTTTAAGTCCAGCTTAGGAAAAACATAGCAAGAATCCATCTCAACCAATAGCTGGATGTGGTGGTACATACTGTCATCCCAGTTACCCAGGGAAGAATTAATAGGAATGTTGGGCTCTGGTGGCTTATATGTGCAATCCTACTCAGAAGGGTGAGATATGACAATTAAAGTTCAAAGCCAGTACAAGCAGAAAGTCCATGAGACCTTTTTTTAAATTGGTTGTGGGGCTTGAACTCTGGGCCTGGGCACTGTCCCTCAGCTCTTTAGCTCAAGGCGAACACTGTACCACTTGAGCCATAGTGCCATTTCCTGTTTTCTGGAAGTTAATTGGAGATAAGAGTCTTACAAACTTTCCTGCCCAGGCTGGGTTTGAACTGTGATCCTCAGATCTCAGCATCCTGAGTAGCTAGGATTATAGGTGTGAGCCACTGATGCCCAGCATCTATGAGACTTTTATCTCTAACAAACCAGCAAAAAGCCAGAAGTAGAGGTCTGGCTCAGGTACAATGTCAGCCTTGAGCAAAAAATGCCAAGTGAGAGCTGGAGACCTTGAATTCAAGCCCTAGTATACACACACACACACACACACACACACACACACACACACACACACAGAATTAATAGAAAGATTATGATTTGGGGTAGCCAGAGCAAAATGCTAGGCTCTATCCCTAACATAACTAAAGCAAAACTTAAACGGCTCTGGTGGTAGAACCTGTCTAGCTAGTTTGAGCCCCTGAGTTCAATTCCTAGGACCATGAAGAGGAAGAAAACCAGATCTTGAAAGATGACTCTGTTATTTACAGTTAAACCTCTCAGTTTTCTCTTTCTATGAAAAGGAACAGTGACTTCTGCCTTACAAGATTGCTCACAGGATTAAAGTAAGGAACATGTTTTATAAGCAGCTCAGTACCTGACACAATAGTGTTGGAATAAACTGGTCTCCTTTCAGGTTTTATCTATCCTAGAAATAAGTTGACTCCTTCTTTGCCTTTTGTTTATCAAAGATACCTCAGAGGATGATGTTAGTGAAAATGTTGGAGTAAAGAACTACAAAATTCTACCATCAACAGCCATAAAAACGGACAAAAACTGCCAGAATAAACTTCTTCAGAATTCTAGAAAATAACTGAAGGCTTGCAACAAGTCAAGGAGCATTTAGACAGGCAAAATGGTCTTGGTGTCAGTGAAAACAGTATGTATAGGCCAATTGCCAGTGGTTCACACTTGTAATCCCAGCTACTCTGGAAGCTGAGATCTAAGGATCCCAGTTCAAAGCCAGCCTTGGCAGAAAAGCCCATAAGACTTTTATCTTCAGTTAACCACCAAAAATCTAGAAGTAGAGCTGTGGCTCAAGTGGGAGAGGGCCAGCTTTGAGCAGAAAAGCTTTTGAGCATTTTAAAAAAATAGCACTCAAGCCCTGAGTTCAAGCCCCAATACCAACACACACACACACACACACACACACACACACACACACACACACACACACAACCAGTATGCTTTGTGTGGCCTGTTAACTGACTGAATCCCGTATACCACTTCCAAGTTCAATGATACTGTGAAAATAAAACCCACATTCCTAGCCCCAGACAGAGCAGAACAGATCCATTCACAATGAGTTATTTGTTCTGTCTGGTGGCTTCTTGGAAGACTGGCTCAAAAGGTTTGTCTTTGTTTTGCCTAAGAATTGAAACAGTGTTCAAGCTGCTACCTGAAGGGCATGTGTTAAATATTTAACAGGCAAAGTTTCAGTCCCTGTTACCTAAGGCAATAGAAATCTACCTGGGCAAATACACCCAACAGAAATCTTTGGAGGAAATGCTGGGGAATGAAATGCACATAAATGCTATGAAAATCTCAGATATATTTCTAAGAATCTAGACAGCCAACATATATCCAAGGACGTGAACATGTTTAGGAAAGATCTGAGGAAGCCATAAACTGTCACCCCTGCCTAAACTTGATGTTCTGAGCAGGTAGGAAGGGAGGGCTAAAGCAGGTGAAAGGAATCAGAAAGATAATTAGTGAATATTTTCAGACAAAGATAAAGAAAAAAATAACATATTGAAATATACTGACTGACTCCTGTGAGCCCAGCACTCAGGAAGAGGTGGCAGGAGGATCTTGAATTCAAGACCAGCCTGCGCTACATCACAAGATCCTGTATCAAAGACAAACAAACACACACACAGAATACGGTTGCACTAGTACTTGGGCAATTTTATAGACTCCAATCAACAACTTCTTACCTTAAGAAACTAGAAAAGAAGCTGGGCGCTGGTGGCTCACGCCTGTAATCCTAGCTGCTAAGGAGGCTGAGATCTGAGGATCATGGTTCAAAGCCAGCCCAGGCAGGAAAGTCTGTGAGACTCTGATCTCCAATAAACCACTAGAAAACCGGAAGTGGCGCTGTGGCTCTAGAGGCAGAGTGCTAGCCTTGAGCTGAAGAGCTGAGGGACAGCGCCCAGGCCCAGAGTTCAAGCCCCACGACTGACCAAAAAAAAAAAAAAGAAACTAGAAAAGATAGATCTATGGGGCTGAGAATGTGGCTTAGTGGTAAGAGTGCTTGCCTAGAATGCATGAAGCCCTGGGTCTGATTCTTTAATACCACATAAACAGAAAAAGCTGGAAGGGATGCTGGGGCTCAAGTGGTAGAGTGCTAGCTTTGATTGAGCAAGAGAAACTCAAGGACAGTGCCCAGGCTCTGACCTCAAGCCCCAAAAATGGCAAAAGAAAAAAAAAAGGAAAGAAAAGATATATCCAAGCCCAAATCAAGAAGATGTTAAGAAATAATACAGATTATAGCAAAATAAACAAAATAGAGAGTATATAAAATCAATGAAACGAAATGTTGATTCTTGGCCAGGCACCACTAGCCCACACCTGTAATCCTAACATACTCAGGAAGCTGAGATCTGAAGATTGCAGTTCAAAGCCAGCCTGGGCAGGAAGTCCATGAGACTCTTATCTCCAATAAACCACTCAGAAAACTGGAGGTGGCATTGTGGCTCAAGTGGTAGAGCACTAGCTTTGAGCTGAAATGCTGAGTGACAGTGCCCAGGCCCAGAGTTCAAGCCCTACAACTAACAACAACAACAAAAATGTTGATTCTTTGAAAAGACCAACTAATCTTTAACTACACAATTGAGAAATCTTTATTTAAACTGACCAAGAAAATAAGAGAGACAAGTCTGGCTCTGGTAGCTCACGCCTATAATTCTAGCTAATCAAGAGGCTGAGATCTGAGGATCATGGTTCAAAGGCAGCCAGACTAGGAAGAAAAGTCTGTGAAACTCTTATCTCCAATTAACAACCAGAAAAATCTGAAGTGATGCTGTAGCTCAAAGTGGTAGACTGCTAGCATTGAGCAAAATAGCTCAGGGCAGCTGGGAGCTGGTGGCTCATGCTTGTAATCCTAGCTATAGCTACTCAGGAGTCTTTGATCTGAGGATAGCAGTTCAAAGCCAGCCTGGTCAGGAAAGACCGTAAGACTTTTTTTTTTGGTCATGGGTCTTGAGCTCTGGCCTGGGCGCTGTCCCTCAACTCTTCAGCTCAAGGCTAGTGCTCTACCACTTGAGCCACAGCTCATGCCTGTAATACCAGCTACTCAGGCACTGAGATCTTAAGGATGACAGTTTGAGGGTAACCTGGGTAGAAAAATCCCTTAGACTCCATCTCTAATATAACCAACAGAAAGCTAAGTTAGAGTCATAGCTTAAGTGGGAGAGTGTCAGCTAATCAAGCAAACCAAACAAATAGGAAGCCCTGAGTTCCAACACCAATACTATAGTAAGAAAAAAAGTTCCTATGAAGACATCTAAAGCTGTAATATATTAAAAAACTGTCCTCTGGTACATTCTCCTGGGAAATCCACATATTCTTGTCATCAATGAATGTACATTTAGCTTCCTGGAACTTTTATTTTGTCGGTGGTGGGGCTGAACTCTGGGCCTGGGCTCTGTCCCTCAGCTCTTCAGCTCAAGGCTAGCACCCTACCACTTGAGCCACAGCACCAATTCTGTTTATGTGGTGCTGAGGAATCGATCCTAGGGCCTCATGCATGCGAAGCAAGCACTTTACCACTAAGCCACCTTCCTAGCCCTCCTGGAACTTTTTATAATGCACTCAGGGTAAGACATATTATTCATATAATCTAAGAATAGCATAGAGCAGAGCCTATGAAATGGTGTCCATGACAGATTCATAACATCCTTTCTAAACAAACCAGACTATGACCTCTGAATATTTCTTAATTGGTTCCAGGCAGCTACCACCACTAAATTTAAACTGGATTGAAAAATGAAATCCATTTGCTCTGCTGAAATAGAATCTAGTCCTCAGACTTGTAAGTATGACCTTTTCAAAAAAACCTCTGTTAGCCAGGCACTGGTGTCTGATTCCTGTAATCCTAGCTATCCAAGAGTGAGATCTGAGAATAGCAGGTCAAAGCCAGCCTAAGCAGGAAAGTCAGTGAGACTATTATCCCAAGCAGGAAGATTATGAGTTCTAGATTAGCTCTAGATTAGCCTGAGCGACATTAGCAAGACCTTGTCTCAATGCTCCCCCCCACCCCCAGGTCTTTTTTTTAATAACTTCTCCATATTATTTCTTAAAAGTATCAAATGAGGGTAAGAGAGAAAATGGCTGGAAGAGTGGGAGAGGAAAAGAGGGTCAAGTGGAAGAGGAGGAAAGCAGAAATATATGAAATGAGCAGAGAGGACCAGAGAGCAGCCAGAAGCCACAGGGATTATTCTGCTGAAGACTTCAGTCTAAGGCACACTGGGAAAGATAGGGAATGTCACTTTGCCGGTCCCCGCTTCCCTGGCACTTACTTTGGATGCTTGAAGGCCATCAGACACCTCTCGTACTTCCCCACCATGCTCCAGCCCATGACCAGGCCATCAGCACCTCCCGAGACAAGATGCCACTCGTCAAAGAACAGGCACCTCACAATTCCCTCATGCCCCATGAGAGTCTAGGAGAAAAGAGGACACTGTTTTCACACCCTCTTTAACTTGGATTTTAACTCCTCCAAGTTCAGGCCCTTTGTTCAATGAATCCCAAAGCCACCCTACCCATCAGGACTGCTACTTGCTTGGCATGTTCCTGAGCTGATTATTTCTGCTCAAAGAAGGCCAGAGGAGTCAGTCCCTGCCTCCTCTCTGCAGAGCTCTCTCCCCAGCTCAGGAGGAATAGGACCAGGAAGGGGCTGGGGCAGAAATCCCTCTCTTCTGTTCTCAAGGGGTGAAGTATGATAAGGTGTCCCACCCTGGGCTCCTCCTTGCCCGGGCCTAGTGAGTTCAGGGGATATTACTGTTCCTGCAGTTGAGGTTCAACCACAATGATAAAAACCCACAAGCCAAGCCAACCACTTTTTACTGTGATCCTACATTCCTAGCCCACTAAGATCAAGGGTTCGAATCCAGTAAAAGCAAGGTAATAAATGTCTGCAGTTGTCTGGTGTGTCTTACGGAATTCCTGTGTTGAAAATTTAATCTCATAAGTCATATGCTAATGGTGTCTGGAGTTAGGTAGGGCCTTGGGGAGATGGCTGTAAGTGAAGCTCTGTCCCCACAAGTGAATTAATCCATTCATGGATTATCACAGCAGTGGGTGGCTTTGTTACTAAAAAAAAAGCAGGGCTGTCTCATGTGTTGTTGTTTTTTTCTATCTCCCCATCTGGTGTTTTCCTCCATGACATGACCTAGCAGGAATCCCTTAAGCAGGTGCCAGTGCTGTGGTCTTGGTCTTCTATGACCCAAATAAACCTCTAATCTTTATAAATTACCCAAGCTCAAGTATGTTGTTAATGCAAAAGGAAATTATCTATGGCTGGGAATGTGGCTCAGTGGTGGAGTGCTTGGTTCGCATGCATGAGGCCCTGGATTAGATTCCTCAACAGCACATGCACAGAAAAAGCTAGAAATGGCACTTTGGCTCAAGTGGCAGAGTGCTAGCCTTGAGCAAAAGCAGCTCAGGGACAGTGCCCAGGCCCTGAGTTTAAGCCCCAGGACTGTCAAAAAAGAAAGAAAATGATCTAAAGTAATTTCCAATCACTAAAGCAACCAATGTTCTTTCTTCATTAGAGGGTAGTGAGGAAACGATCCAATCATCCAATGTTTTCTCCTTATCAAAAGAGTAAAGGATGTTGGGCACCTAGCTACTCAGGAGTCTAAGATTTGAAGATCATGGTTCATAGTTGGTCTGGGCAGGAAAGTCCCATGAGACTTTTGTATCAAACCAGAAAACCAGAAGTAGTGCTGTGGCTCAAAGTTGTAGAGCACTAGGCTTGAGTGAAAAAGGTCAGGGACAGTGCCCAGACTCTTGAGTTCAAACCCCACAACTGGCCAAAAAGAAAAAAAATGTAAAGGGAAAGAAGACGATGACAATGAAGAAAGCTGTTCATCTTCTCCTTGCCTGAAGCTAGGGTCAAGGTAGAATATTCTGGAAAAAGCCCTGTGATTCATATAGGGTGCTGAGTTATAATGTAGCCTCCTCTACTTATTCCATGCCAATATGGTCATGATGGAGGGGGGACTTGTACTACCAACTGAGAATAACCCCCTGGGAAAGCTTTGTTGTTGGCTTTTGTTAGTGGCTGTAACTCAGTTGCTTCAAGTTGGTCTGGGGAGCTCCAGGGAGAAGGACAGATGATCCATCTCTTCTCATCAGTCACAACCAGCGCTCCCAGCCTTCTGCTCACCTTTACCAGCTGGGTGTTAGCAATGTGCCACACTTTGATGAGCCCTTTCTCACAGGTGCTTATAATGTAGGTTTCACTTATCTTGATGGCTGAGATGGGGTCTTTGTGTTTAAATGTCTTCAGGCACTTCCCAGAATCTAATTCCCACTCTGAATGGAAGAGGGAGAGAGGGAAGGCAAGGAGGAAAGGGATAAGGGAGGGTTAGAGTGGTATTTTCCTATCACAAAAGCAAAGACTAAGCCAGGTGCGGTGGCTCTCGCCTATAATCCTAGCTACTCGGGAAGCTGAGATCTGAGGATAGCAGTTCAAAGCCAGACCAGGCAAGAAGGTCCGTGAGACTCTTATCTCCAATAAACCACCAGAAAACTGAAAGTGGCCCTGTGGCTCAAGTGGTAGAGTGCTAGCCATGAGCTGAAGAGCTGAGGGACAGCACTCAGCCCCAGAGTTCAAGTCCCATGACTAACAAAAAAAAAAAAAAGAATAGACTTATTAGACATCAACCATTTATCAATTAGGTCCCAGGACTAAGTTACAGAGTCAGAGCCAAGGTCGTCTGTAATGCTAGCTCCAAGGACCCAGGGAGTTCTGTGTGAGCCTGCAGAGATGGTCTTTGGGGTCTGGGCTCATCTAGACTTTGCTTTTTGTTGTTGAGCTCTTCAGCTCAAGGCTAGCACTCTACCACTTGAGCCACAGTGCCACTTCCAGCTTTTTCTGTTTATGTGGGGCTGAGGGATTGAACACAGGGCCTCATGTATGCAAGGCAAGCACTCTACCCCTGAGACACCTTCCCAGCCCAATAAGCCTACTCTTTAAGCCTAAATGGAATTCATGGGGGATGTCTAGTGTTATTTCTTCCTTATCCATACCTAAGATCGCCAAAAGATACAAAAGTGGTTTACCTTCACTGGGGTTTGAATTTGTTATGCAGGTATTCTGCCACTTGAACCATACCTTCAAACCCTCACCTGGGACATTTTCACCCCAGCTGTTGCATTTCCTAAAGCAATCAGGGAGAAGGATAAGAAATTCAAGGGTAGGATTTCCTCAGCAAATCTGATCATTTCCTATTTTTCCCCCATCTGCCTCTGACATACTGTAGCTTCCCAGGTCCCTGGCTTCTCTTCTCTTTTCAATCTTCCTTCCTGCTTTTCTGAGGGAACCCATACACATGAGTTCCACATGTTTACATTTTTTTAACGGTTGTTGAGACAGGATCTCATTATGTAGCCCATATTAGCCTTGAATGTATGATCTTCCAGCTTCAGCTTCTAGAGTGCAGAGACTATAGGTGTAGACTCCCAGGCTCAGATCACATCCTCCAATACAACCAAGCATAGATTTAAAAAAATATTGGGGGAAACAGGACAGTATCAGGCTGAAGATGTGGCTCAAGTGAAAGAGTACTTGTCTAGCACTCATGAGGCCTTGAGTTCAAATCCTAATACCACACACACGCGTATGTATATGTATATGTATATAGTATAGTGTAGAACCTATTCAAAAAGTATTTGCATTATATTCAGCATTGTAAGTAATTTAGAGATGTTTAAATTACAGGAGAAAAGTGTGAATGTGGGTACACAAATACTATGCCATTTTATAGAAGGGCTCTGAGTATTTATGGAGTCCTGAACATAGAGGGATGACTGTGTTTATATACTAACTGCCAAATGCATGTATCTGGAGCCCTGGATGGGGATATTCACACCTGCATTGGCTTCCAGGATACTCTTCCCTGTGTGTTCTCAGAACTTCATGCTCCTTGTGTGAGTTTTCTATGGATACGAGGACAAATTACCACAGGCATAGCAACTGAAAACAACACAAATATACCATCTTACAGAAGTCTGATATGATGCCAAAGGGCTAAAATCAAGGTGTCAGTAGGAATTTGCTCTTTTATGAGGGTGGAGGTTAATTTCTTTGCCCTTCCATGTGCCTTTCTGGAAGGCCCATATTCCCTGGCTCGTTGCCCCTTCCTTTACTTTCACACACAGTCAGCAATGTTGTGTATCTCTGAACATTCTTCCATAGCTACATTTCACTTTGTTCACACCAAGAATGGTTCTCTGAGGACCAAGTAAACACACAGGGCTCACCACAATAATAATACAGGGTAATCTCCTCATTTTAGCATTTTAGATTTAATCATGTCTGCAAAGCTTCTTTTTTTTTTTTTTAAATGACAACCATTGTGCTTCCCTGTAGCTTAGGGTGTCAGGGGCACACTACCACATTCAACTATTGCTTGTGAAGGAATCTGAACTTTTATGTCCTGGCTAGCCTTAAAAAATAATCCCCAAATCTCCACCTTTCAAGTAGCTAGTATTAGAGACCTGAGTCACTAAACCTCTTTTCAAAGCTCTTTTTGCCATGGAAATTATGTTAGTCTATTTTGCTTTACACTAACAATGTATCTGAAGAAGTCTAATTTATGAAAGTTTGGATGCCGGCATTGGCTCAGCTCTGGTCTCTTGCTGTGTCACATGACCTTTACATGTCATGTGTGGCAGGCACACTGCCAAACCAGGAAGTCAGAAAAAGACTGGGGTCTAGAGGCAATGCTCCAACTGGCCTAAGGACTTCCCACCAGGAGCTGGGAAGGTGGCTCAGTGGTAGAGCACTTGCCTTGCATGCCTGAGGCCCTAGGTTCAATTCCTCAGCACCACATAAGCAAAAAGAAAAATGCCAGAAGTGGCACTGTGGTTCAAGTGGTAGAGCGCTAGCCTTGAGCTGAAGAGCTGAGGGACAGCACCCAGGCCCAGAGTTCAGGCCCCAACGACCAGACCCCCCCCCCCCAAAAAAAAGACTTCCCACCAGAGCCCACTTTTTTTCTTTTTAAAATTTTTAGGTGTGAGACCAGTACTTGAACTTGGTACCTAATGCTTTGACTCATTGACTAGCACTCTACCAACCAAGCCATGCCACTTACCCTTAGGGGTTGGTTACTTCTTTTCTTTTTTCTTTCTTTCAGCACTCACTTCTTAAAGATTCTATCATGTCCTACATTACACTGGAGATCAAATTCCAGCACATGAAAATATCACTCAATTTTAGCACAAAGTAATTTCAAGGATTAGGATGTAAACACTTTTGCTTGGCCTTTCTTCTGCATACCATACTTAACATGTCTAAAACTGAACCTGTGACCTCTTCCCCATCCATTTTCCTATTCTGCTCTTCCCTTGTAGTCTTAGTATTTCTTTTTTTTGGGGGGGGGGGGTCCGGTTGTGGGGCCTGAACTCTGGGCCTGGGTGCTGTCCCTCAGCTCTTCAGCTCAAGGCTAGCGCTCTACCACTTGAGCCACAACGCCACTTCCGACTTTTTTCTTTTGCTTATGTGGTGCTAAGGAATCGAACCCAGGGCCTCACGCATGCAAGGCAAGCGCTCTACCACTGAGCCACCTAGTCTTAGTACTTCAACTTATGGCATTTCCATGTATCTGTGACCTGAGTGGATTTTTTAAATGGCCTATCACATGCTCTTTATCTCAGTTTTTGTTCCAAGTTGGTGGTTAAGTCTTGTTGATTTTTCCATCTCCTACCTGGACCTCTGAATATAAATCATGTTTGCCTGTTTCTTCACACTTGCTTGTTTTCAGATATCCTTTTTGTAAATCATTTTTTTTGTTGTTGTTGTTGGTCATGGGGCTTGAACTCTAGGCCTTCCCTCAGCTCTTCAGCTCAAGGCGAGCACTCTACCACTTGAGCCACAGCGCCACTTCCAGTTTTCTGAATGGTTTGTTGGAGATAAGAGTCTCATGGCCTTTCCTGCCCAGGCTAGCTTTGAACCACAATCCTCAGGTCTCAGCCTCCTGAGTAGCTAGGATTACAAGCATGAGCCACTGGTGCCTGGCTGTAAATCAATTTTTATTAGCATATGTTAGTTATACAAGGGGGTTTCACTTGTGACATTCTCATACATGCATACAATGTATATTGATCAACCTCTTCACAACCCCTTCTTCACTCTCTCCCTTCTTAAAACAATTTCAACAGGTTTCACTGTTCTATTTTCATACATGCAAGTAAAGCACATCAGCCATATTCATCTTCATTAACCTTCTTCATTAGCCCTCCCACTCCCACTTTACCCACCCTGTATCTGAGCCTGTTTTCTTTTCCTGTCCTTCTTTCCTTCCTTCCTTCCTTCCTTCCTTTCTCTTTCTTTCTTTCTCTCTTTCTTTCTCTCTATCTCTCTTTCTTTCTTTCTCTCTTTCTCTTTTTCTTTCTTTCTTCCTTCCTTGCTTCCTTCCTTGCTTCCTTCCTTCCTTTCTTCCTTCCTTCCTCTCTCCCTTCCTTTCTTTCTTTTTGCCTGAGGTTTTGAACTCAGAGCCTGGGTACTGTCCTTGAGCTTCTTTTGCTCGAAGATAGCACTCTACCACTTGAGCCACAGCACCATTTACAGTTTTTTCTGTTTATGTAGTACCAAGGAATGGAATCCAGGGCTTTATGCATGCTAAGCAAGCACTCTACCACTAAGCCACATTCCCAGTTTCTGGCATTCATTTCTTTAGTATGCATTAAAGTATGCCAAGGGTTTTTGCCTTGATATTTCAGACATGCACATATATTTCTCAGAATAAATCTCTCTATTGCTTTCTCATTTCCCTTCCCTCTCAATCCTGATCAACAGTTTCCATTAAGGTTCTTTGTGCTATCTTCATAGGTAGTCATAATGTATTTCAAAATTTGTTATGCTCAATTTTTCTCTTTTTGTCTTCCCTTCCCCTCAGCCCGCTAAGCAGTCACATAGCTAGCATCATGTTCTGTGTGTTTATATATATGAGAGAGTTGCCTGTCATAAAATTGATACTCTAAAACAACTGTTTTCATCCACATAATTACTATACCCTCATCATACGGTTATATGTTTTCTACCATTAAAACTCCAAGAGCCTTTGAGGAAATAAGATTTCATATTTAAAGAACCATATAATTTTTTCCTCAACAGCCCTTAGCACAAAGTCTAGTATGTAGATCTTCAATGGAATGAGTAGATTGATAGATCTATAGATGGATGAAAAAAATAAAGCAATAAATTACTACACAAGGAAATGAGCAAAATTCAAGCCAAGAGTGATGGCATACATGTGTAATCTTAGCTCTCAGGAGATTGTATGCAGGAGGATCATAAATTTGAAGCCAGCATACTAAGTTTGAGGCTAGCCTCAACTAAGTCTGAGGCTAGCTTGGGTTATGTAGGAAAACCTTATGTACAGAGAAAGAGAGAGACAGAGAGAGAGACAGAGAGGAGAAAAAAGAGAATGAAGGAGAGAGAAAGGAAGGAAGATAAGAAGGAAAAAAGAAAGAAGGAAAGAAGAAAAGAGAAGAGATGGAATGAGGGAGAGAGGAAGGAAGGAAAAAAAGAAGGAAGGAAGGAAGGAGGGAGGAAGAGGAGGGAGGGAGGGAGGGAAGGAGAGAAAAGGAGAGAAAAAGGGATGGAGAAAGGGTTTTGATAACTCACAGTTTTGGAGACATTTTTTAGAAAATTTAAAGCAGTTCTCACCTTTCACTTGGCCATCTTTTGCTCCAGATGCAAGCTTGTTCTTATAGACATCCATGCAAGTGATTGTCCCCTGGTGGCCATAGAAGATTTTTATGCAACTCCCAGTTTTCAGATCCCAGTATCTGCAGGAATTTTTTTTTTAATATTGAGAATTTTCTGAAAGCCCAAAGGATCCTTTAGATCAATAGTTGCTTAAAAGGTAGCCAAGTTCCCTGTTGCAGCACTATTTGTCTAATTTCTGTGTCAACTCCATGTCCACATTGGTAATGATAGTAGTAGTAGTAGTAGTAGCACTACTACTACTACTAGTAACATTATAGTTTTTTCTGTGAATAATTAAATGCACAAATAGTGGTTGTCAATCAGAGATGATGTCTATTCTCAGGGGAAATTTGGAAGTAGGTAAAGAGATTCTTGGTGGTTACAAGCAGGGAGAGAAAAGCTAGTCTAGAATGCTATTAAACAACAGCTAAAGAACAGAACAATCCCCCAAATGCTGCCAAAACCAAAACCAACCAACCAACCAAAAACATCCTCATGCACGTGGCTACCAAATGACTCAGGAAAGAACAAGCATCCCTGGAAAGAATTATAAACTAGAAATGATGTAAATGTCCAAAAGCAGAAGAATGAGTGAGCTATGACATATTCATCTAATAAATTACTGTATCTCTGGAAAATAAATTAATGACTGTTACTATGTGATAGGGAGGTATGTCAACAACAGGGTTCAGTGGAAAAATTAGGTACTGATAACTTCTTTTTCTTGTGCTGATATTGAGGTTTGAACTTAGAACTTGGGTACTGTCCTTTAGCTTTGTTGCTCAAGGCTAGCACTCTACTTCTTGATACACAGCTTCACTTCTGGATTTTTGGTAGTTAAGAGTCTCATGGACAGGGCTGGGAAGGTGGCTCAGTGGTAAAGCGCTTGCCTTGCATGTTCAAGGCCCTGGGTTCGGTTCCTCAGCACCACATAAGCAAAAAGAAAAAAGCCAGAAGTGGCTCTGTGGCTCAAGTGGTAGAGCACTAGCCTTGAGCTGAAGAGCTGAGGGACAGTGCCCAGGCCCAGAGTTCAGGCCCCACGACCGGACCAAAAAAAAAAAAAGAGTCTCATGGACATTCACACCCAGACTATTTGAACCATGATCCTTAGATCTCAACCTCCTGAGTAGCTAGGATTACCGATTTGTGCCACCAGTACCCAGCTCTTTTATATTTCTTTATAGTTTTTTCAAAATCTATGAGCTACTTTTGCCTTTTTCTGAATTTAACATAAATGAAATAATATTTTATTTTATTTATTTGTTTTTGTCAGTTGAACTCTGGGCATGGGCGCTGTCCCTCGGTTCTTCAGCTCAAGGCTAATGCTCTACCACTTGAGCCAAGCACTACTTCCAGTTTTCTGGAGGTTAATTAGAGATAAGAATCTCACAGACTTTCCTGCCTGGGCTGACTTTGAACTTTGATCCTCAGATCTCAGCTTCCTGAGTAAAGCTAGGATTACAGGCGTGGGTCACTGGTACCCAGCTGGAATCATATTTTAAGAAGTTATCAGGCCAGGAATCAGTGGCTCAATATGCCTTTTCGTGTGTGTGTTTTTGTTTTTGTTTTTGTTTTTTTGGTTGTGGGGCTTGAACTCTGGGCCTGGCGCCATCTTTCAGCTCTTCAGCTCAAGGCTAATGTTCTGCTACTTGAGCCCAGCACCACTTCTGGTTTTCTGGTGGTTAACTGGAGATAAGTCTCATTGACTTTCCTGCCCAAGCTGGCTTTGAACCATGATCCTGAGACCTCAGCCTCCTTAGCAGATAGAACGTGAGTCACAAGTGCCTGGCTCAGTCTGAGATCTGAGGATCATAGTTCAAAATCAGCCTGGACAGGAAATTCCATGAGACTCTTCTCTCCAATTGACTACCAAAAAGCTGGAAGTGGAGCTGTGGTTTCAAGTGGTAGAGTGTTAGCCTTGAGTAAAAAAATTCAGGGGCAGAGCCCGGGCCCTGAGGTCAAGCCTCAGTACTCACACTAAAAAAAAAAAAAAAAAAAAAAGCCAAGAGAATAAGAGTATGAAATTTAGGGCAATTTTACAAGGTGTTGGAAGTAAGAAAGAAGCAATGAGGGAAAGAAACTGGGGATTAGGGTGAAGGAATGTTACATGTATTGGTCTGAGCAAAGGGAAGATGGGTGTTTATTATATTGTATATAAGGTATAAATGTATTCTGATTAGCATACCATTTTGTTCTACGCTATATTATGTTTCATACCCATAAAAATTACTTTATACTGGAGCAGGGGAAGAGGAGGAGGCAGAAGAGGGAGGAAGTAGAAGGGGGAGGAGGAGGAAGAGGAGGAGGAAGAGGAAGAAGGAAGAGGAGGAAAAGAGGAAGATGGAGAGAAGAGGGGAAGGGAGAAAATGGAAAGGGAGTGGGGAGACAGGAGGGGAGAGGGGGGAGGGGGAGAAAAAAGAAGAAGAAAAGAGAGGGAGGGAAGGAAAGGGAGGAGGAGGAAGAAAAGGGGGAAGAGGGGAGAGGAAAGGGGAGGGACAGGGGGAGAAGAAAGAAAAGGGAAAAGAAACCATTATACATATTCTAGAAGTAATGTTTAGGAGAACTTTTCGACAAATACAAAATGGAGGAAGTAGACACACTTCTTCCTTGAACTGATTTTTGGCCCCAGGTGGGAAGACAATCCTGACTCCTTGGACTGCTCACCTGATACTTAGGTCATAACTCCCACTTAGGAGAAACATTTCCTTTTCAGCGAGGAAGATGGTCCGGACGCTCCCAGCATGGCCTCGGAACTCGGTGCGCAGCTCCTTGACTTGTAAGATATCAATAAGGTACAACTTCCGATTTGATGCCACAGCTATCAGATTTCCCCCCGAATAGTGGATGATTCTGTTTCGGTCCCACCTGAGTTTGGAGGGTCGGGGAGAGGTGGAGAGCACAAGTAAAAAGAGTTGCCAGAACTTAACCTAGCACCTGACTTTTCCTGCAGTAATGAAATAATGGAAAATTCTATTCTTTTCCATGAGTGAGACTGCAGAAAAGAAAACCAACTATTAACTGGTCACACACCATGACAAAAGTCCATTTCAGGTAGATTAAAAATCTAAAAAATGGGCTGGGAAGGTGGCTCAGTGGTAGAGTGCTTGCCTTGCATGCCTGAGGCCCTGGGTTCAATTCCTCAGCACCACATAAGAAAAAGAAAAAAGCGGGAAGTGGCACTGTGGCTCAAGTGGTAGAGCGCTAGCCTTGAGCTGAAGAGCTGAGGGACAGCGCCCAGGCCCGGAGTTCAGGCCCCACAACCGGACCCCCCCCCCAAAAAAAAATCTAAAAAATATATAGGTAAATAAAGTAATTTTAAAATGGGCAAATAAAAATAACACAAAGTATTGCTGGGTGCCAGTGTCTTAACGCCTATAATCTTAGCTACTCAGGAGGCTGAGATATTAGGATCATGATTCAAAGCCATCCCAGGCAGGAAAGTCCATAAGACTCTTATCTACAATAAACCACCAGGAAACTGAAAGTGGCACTGTGGCTTAAGTGGTAGAGCACTAGCCTTGAGCTGAAGAGCTGAGGGACAATGCCCAAGCCCAGAGTTGAAGGCACACAACCAACAAAATAATAATAGTAATAATAATAATAATAATAGAAAGTATAAAGAGGGGCTGGGAAGGTGGCTCAGTAGTAGAGCGCTTGCCTTGCATTCCTGAGGCCTGGGTTTGATTTCTTAGCACTACATAAGCAAAAAGAAAAAAACCGGAAGTGGTGCTGTGGCTCAAGTGGTAGAGTGCTAGCCTTGAGCTGAAGAGCTGAGGGACAGTGCCCAGGCCCAGAGTTCAGGCCCCATGACCGGACCCCCCCCCAAAAAAAAAAGAAGAGAAAAAGAAAGTATAAAGAAAACAATGTTTTACTAATATATAATTTTTTATTTTTTAACTTTTTTGCTGGTCGTGGGGCTTGAACTCTGGGCCTGGGCGCTGTCCCTGAGCTCTTCAGTTCGAGGCTAGTATTCTACACTTGAGACACAGTGCCACTTCTGGTTTTCTGGTGGTTCATTGAGATAAAAGTGTCACGGACTTTCCTTCCAGGGCTGGCTTTGAACTGCGATCCTCAGATCTCAGCCTCCTGAGTAGCTAGGATTGCAGGCCACCAGCACCTGGCTTATGCTAACCTTTGAGGGTAGAATATATGGCACAGAGAATATTTGGCCACAGAAATCTTTATTCATGTAAAACCCCAGAGGAACCTAGATATAAAGCCTTTTACTTTTTCTTCCTTTCTTTTCTTTTTTGCTTAACCAAGATCCAAGTTGCCTTCTTTAGGTTCAAAGGTCTGGGCTAGTGGGTTTTTTTTTTTTTTTTTGGGTCCGGTCGTGGGCCTGAACTCCGGGCCTGGGCACTATCCCTCAGCTCTTCAGCTCAAGACTAGCTCTCTACCACTTGAGCCACAATGCCACTTCCGGCTTTTTTTTTTCTGCTTATGTGGTGCTGAGGAATCGAACCCAGGGCCTCATGCATGCAAGGCAAGTGCTCTACCACTGAGCCACCTTCCCAGCCCTGGGCTAGTGGGTTTTATGGGAAATACAAAGATTAATAAAATATGGACCTTGCTCACAATAAGCTTGTAGTCCAATAAAACCATGTGAGTTGACTTAATTTTCCAATCATAAGATTATATATAATCCTATGCAAATAGGTAAAATATGAGCAGGAAAACCAAACGATTTATTGTCTGAATTGAGACTTTTTGTTGTTGTTGGTGGTGATCTTGGGGATTGAACTCAGGACATGGGCATTGTCCCCAAGCTTTTTCACTTAAAGCTAGCATTCTACCAGTTCCAGTTTTCTGATGGTTAATTGGCGATAAGAGTCTCACAGACTTTCCTGCCTGTGCTGGCTTCAAACTGCAGTCTTCAGATTTCAGCCACCTAACTAGCTGGAATTATAGGCATGAACCACCAGTGCCCAGCTAAATTGAGACATTTTTATTGTAAAGGGGGATACTACTACTAAATACATTATGACCACAGAGGAAAGTGGAATTGTTCCAGGAAGCAGAATGTACAGTCATTCCAAACATAAGGAGAAATGCTTGCTATTTTGTTCTCATCCCATGTGTTATGTCTAGAATTTAACTATTCATCATCTAAAGAGCAGTTACCACCCTCTAACCCGTAAGCCTTCCCCATAGCAACTGGTCCATTACCAAAACTAAATAATCTTGTGAATAAACAATGAAAGTCAGGTAGACACTAGTGCCTTATGCCTGTAATCCTGTCTTCTCAGAAGGCTGAGATCTGGAGGATTTGAAACCAGCCTAAGACAGAAAAGTCTGATAAACTTCCTCTCCAAAATAACCAGCAAAAAGTCAAGCTGGAGGCATGGCTCAAGTGGTAGAGCCAGGCAAGCAAGTTAATTAAGCATAAGGCCCAGTACTAAACAAAAAAGCCAATTATTACAGACAGTTTTGCTAGATTGGGTAATTAAGATGCATGGTCAAACCCCATTTCTGCTTAAAATATGAGAGTTCTAGAGGGTAGACTTCAATGTTAAGGGTGTTTAACTCTAGCTGACAGAGTTATAGAAGATCGTTGCTTTTCTCTACATATTTTCTAGCATTTGTACTCTTCTCCCCCCATAAGCATATATTAGTTTTCAAACTAGAATAAAAAAACAAAAATGTTTCAAAAAAAGAAAGATTTTGGGCATGATTACATGTGTAAAAAGTTCTTAGTCCAGCGGCTGGGAAGTTGGCTCAGTGGTAGAGCGCTTGCCTTGCATGCCTGAGGCCCTGGGTTCCATTCCTCAGCACCACATAAGCAAAAAGAAAAAAAGCGGAAGTGGCGCTGTGGCTCAAGTGGTAGGGCACTAGCCTTGAGCTGAAGAGCTGAGGGACAGTGCTCAGGCCCAGAGTTCAGGCCCCACAACCGGACCAAAAAAAAAAAAGTTCTTAGTCCAAAAATGTATAAGGGGCAGAGGTATCCTCTTCTAGCTGTAGGGGATGATACTAAATTAAACCCCTGCTGTCCAATCAGGACCCTGTCCTAGTTCCCAGAAGGATCTTGAGGACAAGGGAGGGATGCCTTCCCAAGTCAGTGGCAGGGGGGGCTGGGAGGAATGTCAGGAGAACCCTAAATTGCCAGTGAGTGTGACTCAAGAGTTCTTGATGCCCTAGCTTCTGAGCCTGGTACCCACGTGTCAGAGATAATGCGGATATTGTAGGTGCCACAGAAAACATTTCTCTCCTCCATCTGGATCATCTGCGTTTCCTGGTTCTGGTAGGCAGTCCACAGGCTGTAGTCACTCTAATGAGAGAATACATGAAGTCAAGTGTGGCTTCAACTTTACCCAGGGTACCATATACCCCTATTAGGCTCCCCTGGCATGGGCACAAGCATGGTGGTTTTGTGTGTGTGTGTGTGTGTGTGTGGCAGGGGAGGGTTCTTCCTTTTAAGGCGTTGGCTGCTGCTTTGTAGTGATAGGGAATAACTCAGGAATAGGCACCAAAGTAACCTGTTCATGGTTAGCTCAATCAGAAGTCCTACTTCATCTTTTACCTCTGCATTTTCTGCACCTTCTGGTTCTATAAACCTTCAAGGGTGGATTTCAAATGATGCCCAGAACACTTTTCTGAAAATGACTTCACAAAGGGTATGTTCACAACATAAAACCACAGGTACCCCATGCCCAGACCCATGACCGAAATCAGGTTTCATGTTTGTATACCATAGAACATAGACCTGATAGCACAAAGCCCACTGATGAGAACTTGAGCCATCAATGAGATTACTGATGCACTGGGTACACTTGCATTTCCAAGTTTTCACAAACCTATAACCTTCACTTGTCCTGAAAGCTGTCTCGAAAAGGACATTACCTACCCACAAAATATTCCTATCATTTTACAAAGGACTTATCAGAGGCTTAGGGAAGGCAAGGAAACATCATCAAGTCTCTTTGCTGCCCAGTCTTTCCTCCCTCCCTCCATCCCTCCCTCTGTCCCTACTTCCCTTCCCTCCCTCCCTCCAGCTCTTCCTACTTCCTCCTCCCTTCCCTCCCTCATTTCTATCCCTTCCCCCTCCCACCCTCCTTTCTTCTCTTCCTTCCTTTGTCCATCACAGTTTGTGAGCAGCTATGGCCATGCCAGACATGATAAATTCTGATCTAGATGGCTGAACTATACTTCCCAGTTTCATTCTTCCCAGCTGTACTCGACCCTTAAAGAGCCAGAAATAGCAAATCCCATCAAATGGCAGGAAAGAAAAGCCAGCATGAGTTTCTTGAGGCCCTTATCTTGTTTGCATCAGAGTCCTGGGAACATTTCTTCTAAAGTTTCCTTCTCAACTGTAGCCTTCTCCTCCATGCCTTTGACTTGTCCTCAGATGCCCTTGTTCCTCTACTCACACTTCTTAACACTTTTTTTTTGGTGGTGGTGGGGTGGGGTGGGGTAGAGGTTAAGACAGATCTCCCTGAATAGCTGAGGTTGGCCTCTAGCTCATGATCTTCCTGCTTCAGCTGCTCAAGTGCTGACATGAAGACACGTGTCACCACACATCATTTCTTCTTCATCTTTAACCAAGTTGAGGTGTCTCCAAGAAGAATCTGCTAACCCACCTCCTCTCAAGGGTACGAGTGGCTTTCCATATCCCAGTTTGAGTTAAATGAGGCTTTCCTAGGTTCTCCTGACACAAAGGATCCTGGGAATTCTTTGTCCCTGGCTCAGCTCCCAAGTTTTAGAGATAAAGCCATAGGGGTGAAATCATTGTGAGGGAAAAGACTCTGTTGTGTCACTAACCAACTGTAAGGTCTTGGGCAGGCTTTATACCACTTGGAGAGGAGTGATACCTATTTACTTACAGTGGAAATCAAATCAAGAGTGTACAAAACTCTACACTAATTTTATAATAAAAACCTTTAAAAAAAAAAAAAAAAAAGAATGTACAAAAGACTGCCAGCACTGAGCCTGACACACTAGGAGCAATCAGTAGGAGGTACCATGGTGAGTAGCACCCTACCCACCTCTACCCACCTCCATCTTTTCCTAAAAGACCCGGAACTGCTTAATCTTGCTATTTCCAATGTTCTGCTTCAGTACCCATCCATGTCTCTCATTTTCTGTAAGTTATACATTCCTAGAAGGCCAAGTCTTGAGATTATTTTGTTGGGTAGTTATAAATTCTATCACACAGGGAGGTATGATATTAGTTTTGACAGATTTGTAAAGAATGTGTTTCTGGTCAGCTTGTATCTCTGCTATTTAACTGGCTGAGAGACTCAGTTTCTTTATATATAAAATGGGTGTAGCAACTGGACCCTCTGGACAGGCTGCAAGTTCTTCAGTACTTCATACTCCACTTTCTTTTACTGATCACTGCCAACCAATCTCTTATCTGCGTGATCTGCTCAGCTTCCAAAGATATAAGAGCTAAGTGACCTTGCTCAGATTCTAAGTGTTACCACATATCTTTCTTATGGGATACTAAAATTAAACCATCCCTCATTAAGTTTCCTTTGGTGACCAACCAAGAGAATACATGCCAAAGTAAAAGGATCTTCAGCAGAGAGGAGGGTGTGGGAATCTAATGGTCTTAGGAATCATTGTCATGCTGGGACAATTAGGGCATAATGTTCCAAGAGTGTACTCATTACTCTTCTTTATTACAGCCTAAGCATTGCTGGGAAGATCTACACTTAATTCATTTTTCTCTTCCATCCAATAAGCAGAATGGACTACTCTCATTTCTGAGCAGCAAACTCAAGAAACCTCAAGATGAGTGGAGCTGGGTTGAGGAGAATTCCAGCTATGGTTGACATCATTCCTGGCCTCTGAATTCTCCACTAGGTATCGAATTGGTGCCTTGCACATAGAATCTTAAGAAGACAACCCAATTAATCTGCTCATCCAGCAGATGGAGACATCAAGTTTAATGGAGGGGAAGTAGATTGCATGATACAGAGCTCTCCCTAAGGGACTGGTATCTCCCATGAGCCTGTGTCCTGACTTGTGGGCTGAGTCTGGGTGTCAGCCTGAAATGACCAATAAGAACACAACACTCCCTGCTACTCATCCCAGATGCCATGGAGACCCACCTTTGTTCTCAGTTTCCACTTTGGAGTTTTCGCACGCATGCGTTTCCCATCATCTGTCATTTTAGGAACAGGGATAAGAAGCTTGTTGGCATAATTAGGATCTATTCCCTTTGTGTAGGATCCCTGGTTGGAAGAAAGAGACAGTGACTATTATGCTGGGACCGCTGCCTTCTCATATAAGCGTAGAGTGCAGCACTATTCACAATAGCCAAGGCCTAAAAGCAGCCTACTGTCTACTTACAGAAGCATGGATAAAGAAAATGTAGTATATGTACAAATGGAATACACTTAGCCATAAAGAGAAGGAGGTCCTGTCGTGCAATGATGTGGAGGATATGGAGTAAAATAAACCAATGCAGAAAAACTACCTCATCTCATTCATGTGGAATCTTTTGTTTTTGTTTTTATTGTTGTTGTTGGTGGTGGTGGACATGGGGCTTGAACTCTAGACCTGGACCTGTCCCTCAGCTCTTCAGCTCAAGGTTAGTGTTCTACCACTTGAGCCACAGCGCCACTTCGTTTTCTGGCGGTTAATTGGAGATAAGAGTTTCATGAGCTTTCTTGCCTGGGCTGGCTTCAAACTGAGATCTTCACATCTCAGCCTTCTGAGTAGCTAGGATATCAGACATGAGTGCCTGGCAACCTGCTGAAATGATTTGTCTTTATTCCTGTACTCTAGGAAGGAAAACTCATTCTTGGCACAATCTGAAAAGATGGGTAAGCTCTGCCCTGGTAAGTTTTTACCAACAATGTGTGCAGAAAAAGCAAGGAAGACAATAGTAAATTTTGGAAAAAGATTACCATGAAATGGACAGCAGTTTCTAGATGGTGGCCTGCCTTCTTCTCATTCTTTGTGATCTACCTTTGCTGAGGGAAGAAAAATCCAAGCTTCCAAGATTACTCAGTTCAGGGTTAGGCTTCAGGCAAAGTGTAAAAATGCCAGAGAAAGCCAGGTATCAGTGGCTCAAGCCTTTAATCCTAGCTACTTAGGAGGCTACTCAGGAGGATCACAGTTCAAAGCCAGCCCAGGCAAGGAAAGTCTGTGAGACTCTTATCTCTAATTAACCACCAGAAAACTGGAAGTGGTGCTGTGGCTCAAGAGGCAAAGCACTCACCTAGAGCTGAAGAGCTGAGGGACAGCGTCCAGGTCCAGAGTTCAAGCCCTATGACTGACAAAAAAAAAAAGCCAGAGAATATTGCATGTTAACCTAAATATAGGCATACTAGCATTATAAACTTCTGGGTAACATGAAGCTGATTCAGAAACTTACTTATAGCTCGTGTGTGTGTGTGTGTGTGTGTGTGTGTGTGTGTGTGTGTGTGTGTGTGTGTGTACATGTGTGCAATGAAGTTTGAATTCAGGCCTCATGCTCTTGCTTTGCTTCTTTTTTTTTTTTGCTCAAAGCTAGCCCCTACCACTCCATTTTGAGCTTTTTGCTGATCAATCAGAGATGATAGTCTCATGGATGAGATTTTACTCCCATTTCCTGCACAGAGAACGTGTTTTCTGTCTCTGTCTCTGTCTTGTTCTCTCTCTCTCTCTTAAACTCTTTGCCATCAACAAAAAAACTTTAGTAAGTCTCATGAATTTGTCTGCCTTAGGCTGGCTTCTAACCTCAATCCTCAGATCTCAGCCTCCTGAGTATCTAGAATTACAGGTATGAATGCATTCATAGTTTTCAGATTGTATGAGCTCTAACAGAACTCCTTATTGGAAAAGAGAGAATTCTCTGCTACTAAAGATTTTGTTTTGTTTGGGTTTTTGAATTTCTGGTGATGGAACTCAGGGCTATATACATGCTGGGCAAGTGGCTGTGAGGGTTTGAATGGGGTTTTCCTTTTCCTCTCTGTTCTAAAGAGACTTCTATTCCTTATCCCTGCTAGGTACACAGACAATGGGAGGACAGATGGTGAGCAATGAGAGTGCAGGCCACAAAGAGGAAATGAAGCTGGTCTTCAAACATATCCCTTCCAGATCAGAAGTACCTGCAATATGGTAATCTGGTTTTGAATGAAGGTGTGCATGGACAACTCCATCTTGACTTGCTGGGCCAGGGAGGCCCAGTGCTGGCTCACAGAGATACATTTGTTCAGGCTGTTTTTATCCAGCAGTCCTGGTAGAGGGGTAGAGGGAGAAAGATGGACCCAGAAACCTCAGAACAAGGCCAAGATGAGAGGTCTCTGAGAAGTCCCTAATCTACCCAGCATACTTAGAATGTACTTGGAGAGGTGGATGGGCAGTAGACGGATGAAGTCCCGGTATTTACTGCACCCAGAAGACAGGCGTCTGACAGCCTTCATGTCTACCAGCAGACTGCAAGGATCATCCTCTAGTTTAAGCATGCATGATTTTTTAGGCAGCAGCTTATTCGTCTCAGAAATACAATGGAATAAGTTCTTGTGTTGTCTACCTAGAGGAAAGCCAGAGATGGTTGCGTGGTTGAGTTCTCTGCAGAAATCCCAGGATCAGAACAAATCCTCAGCAAAACTCAGTCCTCAGAAACAACGCTTCTTGAGTTTATCATTAGGTAAATTACCCCCACTGATTTTTTTCAATTCTCCCACATGAAAATAGAATCTCCTGAATCAAATCCACAAGTACTTTTTAGCCTTCTCAGATAAAGATGTCTATAGTAGCCAAGTCTGAAATGGCATCATGTCTGGAATTTCCTTGAAAATACTCAAACAAGAAAAAAATTAAATAATTTCAAAAAGGGAAGATGGGTAAGATTGGTAGGAATCCGGATGTGGCTCAGTGGTAGAGCACTTCCCTAGCAAGTATGAGGTCCTGAGTTCAACCCCTCACACAATAATAAAAACAATAACAATAATAATGGCATTATTATTTTTCGGTGCTGGCAACTCATGCCTATAATCCTAGCTATTTAGGAGGCTAAAATCTGCAAATTGCTTTGTAAAGCCAGCCCAAGCAGGAAAGTTGGTAAGACTTTTATTTCCAATTGATTACCAAAAAGCTGGAAGTGAAGCTGTGCCTCAAGTGGTAGAATGCTAGTCATGAGTGAGAAAGCTGAGGGACAGTGAAAAAGAAGAAGAGGAAGAAGGAGGAGGAGGAGGAGGAGGAGGAGGAATGACAAGACACTGATTATTGTTAAAGCTGAATGATGGTTCTATACGAAGTTATTATACTGTTTTATCCACTTTAAAAATTTGAAAATTTCCATGTAGAAAGCATTTTAGGCTATGCACCAGTTCCTCATACCTGTAACCTTAGGTACTTAAGAAACTGAGATAGGGAATATCAAAGTTTGAGGCCAGCCTGGCTAGAAAAGTTCTTGAAGACCTCCTCTGACTTGAAAGCTGTTCAAGTGGCACATGCCTGTTATCTTAGGTACAATGGAAAGCCTAAAACAAGCATATGACAGCCCAGGCATGTGCCCAGGAAGGAAGTGTGACTTTCTCAAAAACAACCACTGCAAAAAAAAAAAAAAAAAGCTTGGAGCTGTGACTTAGATGTAGAGCACTTGCTAGCAAGTGTGAGGCCCTAACTTCAAACCCCAGTACACATAAAAACAAAATCAACAAAACCAAACAAAAAACAGTATTTTAGAATCTACATTTTGTGTTTCCTATGGTTATTTCATGAACACTCACATACCATATTTTTGTCAATCATAAACCACATGTTTGATGGTAAGCATACCACATAGCCTAGGTTTGTAGGCATTTTCCTGTCATTAAGTAAGTCATGAGTGTATGTCTTGCCTTAGAAAAAATTGAAGGAAAGCCTTGAGAGACCATGTTCCCTACTCCTTAATTTCCTCTTGAAGACTAAATCAAATGTCCCAAGTGAGGTAGACCCTAGAGGTAGCCACCATTCTGGAGCTTAATGGATTAAGGCCTGGAGCCGATATAAAAGGGAGCTCTTGAAAGTTTCCTTTCTAATCTCTAGACCAGGTGTATTGTGGAGGCACTATGGTAGAAAGGCAAAAACATGACCAATTTTTTTAATCCTGCCTTTCTCCTTACCACCTGTGAGAGTTAAATGAGAAAAAGAAGAAGAAAAGAATATCAAAGAACCCAACAATTGTAGATGCCAAATGAATGGTAGTCTCCAAAATCATATACCCCCCCCCCCAGATTCTATTGCTTTTTCAGTCCCCCTAACTCTACGGAGACTTCCCAATTTCATATATACTAAGACTTTCAGATTTACAAGGGTTATGCACACTCCCCCACACAGAAAACAAGAAGAAGAAGAAGAAGAAGGAGAAGGAGAAGGAGAAGGAGAAGGAGAAGGAGAAGGAGAAGGAGAAGGAGAAGAAGAAGAAGACGATACCCTATAATCTATTGTAAATTCAAAAGAAATCCTAAGGCAAATTATTATATGTTTTCTGATATAGCATGTGGTTTGGTTCCAACAAGCCCATCATAAAATTAAAAAAAAACTGTAAGTTGAACCATTTAAGTCAGGCACTGTCCACTGAAGTCTGTGTGTGTGTGTGTGTGTGTGTGTGTCTAATAGTTGATTTACCAGTTACTATTCCCAGATCTCCAAGCATGACTTACCAGTTACTTTTCCCACATCTCCAAGCGTGTCTTTTTTTGCTGAAGTTCTACGCAAGGGGAATGACATAGATCTGGGTTTAGTTGCCCAATACACATGTGGAAACTCAGATATGGTGGTGTAACCTTTCTTAGGGAAAAACACCATATCAATGGAGTCTGGATGGAGCACTGGAAAACAAAAACCAAGACAAGGTGGCTTTTCTAGCAAGTGTGTGGAGGAAAATGAGGTCAAGAGAGAAATGGTTTAATTATTCCTTATTTCTTTTTTTTTTTTTTTGCCAGTCCTAGGCTTGAACTCTAGGTCTGGGCGCTGTCCCTCAGCTCTTCAGCTCAAGGCAAGCACGCTACCACTTGAGCCACAGCGCCACTTCTGGCTTTTTCTGCTTATGTGGTGCTGAGGAATCGAACCCAGGGCCTCATGCATGCAAGGCAAGCACTCTGCCACTGAGCCACCTTCCCAGCCCCCTTATTTCTTTTAAATATAGTTGCCTTTTGTATCTGAAGGGTCTATCTCCTTAGGCTCAAGCAATCACACACTGACAATATAAAGAAAAAATTCATCTGTGCATTTTCATCATTTTTCTAAACACTACAGTTTAGCAACTATGACATTTGTAGTGGATTTGGCATTGTAAGTGATCTAGAGATGATTTAAAGCATATGAGGGGATTGGACAGTCTAAGCAAATACTATATCATTTTATATAAGGTACTTGAGTAGCCATGGATTTTGGTATCCAAATGGAGCCCTAAAAATAATTCCTCACAACTATACATACAAAATTGATTTGGCAAAACTATACATACAAAATAAATTTGGGAAGTTGTATCTGTTTTTATTTGGGGACTTTGAGTTACTATGGAAAAATCTCAGAAAACTTCAACTGGTTAAACTTTGCCAGGCAATCCAAGATGCAAAATCCATTAGAGTTCTATATGAAAGGAGAAAAATCATGAATGGGAGCTACGAGAAGAATTGCTTCTCTGAAGTTCTCTCTGAGTTTCCTTTAAAGATATGAATTAAACCAGGCACTGTTGGCTCACATCTGTAGTTGTTACTCGGGAGGCTAAGGTTCAAGGATTGTGGTCTAAAAGCAGCTCGGGCAGGAAAGTTAATGAGACTCTTATCTCCAATTAACTACCAAAAGGTAGGAAGTGAGGCTGTGGCTCAAGTGGCAGAGCACCAGACTTGAGCAATAAAGCTAAAGTACAACCCCCAGGCTTTGAGTTCAAGCCCCAAAGCAGCAAAACAAATACATAAATTAGTAGTAATTTTTTTTAAAGGACCTAGTCTTACACTCTGAACACTTTCCAGTCATCTAAACTGGTATCCACCTGCAGTCCTGAATTCTTGCTTTCTTACCTTTGGGGGCATTCTGATCTCACTCTCTATGGACTTGTTTACCTGAGACCTTGTTCCACTCTCTCAGAAACAGGACTCTGATCACACTCGCAGCAGTGAGCAGCAGTTTTTCATTGCACATCTGCAGCAGGAAGACAGTAAAATTTGCCTTGGTCCAGTAGGTGCTGTCGCAAAACCAGTACAAGATCTCCTTCATCTTCTCCTCTGCGGTTTTCTCCAACAACTGGTTCAAGGAGGACTTCACAGACTTCTCCTTCTTCCTCTCCAGCCTGCTGAGGGAGATCCGGGATCTATTATAGATAAAATCCTTTCCCTGAGTGGTCTGCAGGATATTTTGGAAATAGTGTAGTAAGTATAAGCTATTTAACTGAAGTAGAATGCTAACTAGAAACCTCCTCTGTGTCATGTCGCTGACCCTTTGGAACCACTCTTTAGTAGAAAAGATCTTCCATGCTAAGATACACGTTTCACACTTCTGGCACAGAGGGATCGAATCATTTCCCTTTTGACAACGAAAATAAGGGGTTTGCTTAAGATTCGGTTCCATGTTTTCCAGGAGCCTGAGATAATCAGTTCATTTTATCCTTGCCAGTTAGCAACACCACCAAACACCAAAGTGACAGGAGAAGTGGAGAAATGTCCTAATCAAGCCTTTCTATTATAAATAAATGAGGGAAAGAAAAAAAAAAGCCACGGCAATGGGCAGAAAACTTATCTGTCCTAGAAACTGCCAGTAGAAGTCTGGCTTTCTGTACAGAACTCCTTGGAAACGTAACTTTACCGTAAATCTTCTAAACTTAGCACTGTGTAATTGGAGGCAGTTGCTGTATATGCTGAAAGAGTGGTTCATCTCATTTCTAGAAGAATGTTTTTTAGTCAAATCTAAGTAAAAAAATCATGGAGACTGGTGTTGAGCTTCAGTTGCTTATCAATAACTTGAATATTCAAGAATATAAACAGATATAAGTTCATTATATTTATATTTGTTCAGTTATATGGTAGATATCCCAAAAGTCCTGAATATGTTTATATTGTCTTGTCATCAAAGTAAAATCACAAATTTTTATTATAAATTTAGGCTGGTTAACTGATTCAGAATGATAATCAGAAATCTCTGCTGATCTTTAAAATTAAGTCTGCATGTTATTTTAGCTCCTAGCCATTGGGATATTGCTTAAAGCCCTTCTGTTGATTGTACTGGAACATATCTGATATATGCTTATGCTTGTACATACACACACATATATATGATATACGTAACAAAAGCTATTTTATACATATGCACATTTTAACATGGACATATTCCACTCATATTCTAATTCTCCTCTTCTAACTTTATAAACTCCTTCACAAACAACACATTGGAAATTTTAATCATTAAAATAATGCCCCTGGAGCCTGGCGCTGGTGGCTCACGCCTGTAATCCTAGCTACTCAGGAGGCTAAGATCTGAGGATCATGGTTCAAAGCCAGCCCGGGCAGATAAGTCCGGGCTGGACTTATCTTATCTTCAATTAACCACTCAAAACCCAGAAGTGGCCCTGTGGCTCAAGTGGTAGAGTGCTCCCCTTGAGCACAAAGAGGCTCAGGGACAGCTCCCAAGGCCCTGAGTTCAGGCTCCACAACCAGAAAAAAAAAAAAAAAAGCAATGATTGTAATAACCCGTGAGGACCCAATAATCAGCAGGGCCCCAATAGTCAGCGTGGCTCCTGGCTCCATGGTCTGGGCCTGCTGCAGGGTGCGGGACATCAAAAGGCCAGCCTCCAGCTCTACAAACCAGGCCACAGCGGCTGACGTCACTGCCCCAGGCATGCAGCCGAAGGGGGCGGGGAACGCCGCTGAAAGGGGCGGGGAATGCCACTGAAAGGGGCGGGGCATACTACTGGAGGCGGTGGGGTGTCGAGCCCCACAGGGCCAGCTGCCTATTGGGGAGGAACATGATTGGCAGTTTGAAACCATTAGGAGGGGAGCCTATCTGGGTGTATACAGCTTTGGAGGTCTGAGGTTGGGAGGTTTGCAGACCAACTAATTTGGTGGTTTTTCAGACCAACTAATAAGGGTCGGGGCTGCCTATTGGAGGCTTAGAGGTTTGGTGGTTGAGGCTGCTCTTGGTTCTGGGTATCTAGCCCAGGACAAGGTAGTCTCAGGACCCCCTTTCTGGTGTAAATAGTGTAAATAAACTTCTTTTGCTCACCTTTCACTGTGCCTCGATGGATTGTCTTGCTCTCCGGAGGTCATAAGTATGATAACAAGACAATGTAATAAAAACATATCAATTTGGTTTTTCTCTCAAAAAAAATCTTCTTGTTCTACATTCACCCTTCTTCCTATGATGCTATCAATAGTTCAGACTCAGTTTGACCTGGAATGACTGACATCTTGGAAAGTAAAACTATAGACCTAAAGAACTACTATATTGTTAGTGAGATTGTTATTTTGAGCAAGCAATCCTAGTCCACTACAATATGTAGGTAATATGCATTCTATATTGAAATGGATGTAAAATATGTATGGGTATGGGTAGTTTTTAAAACAAAAAATGACACAAAAATGTAAGTCTAACCTGTTTTTTGTTTTTTTTTGGGGGGGGGTCTGGTTGTAGGGCCTGAACTCTGGGCCTGGGCGCTGTCCCTCAGCTCTTCAGCTCAAGGCTAGCCCTCTACCACTTGAGCCACAGCACCACTTCTGGCTTTTTTCTTATGTGGTGCTGAGGAATCGAACCCAGGGCCTCATGCATGCAAGGCAAGCGCTCTACCACTGAGCCACCTTCCCAGCCCAGTCTAACCTGTTTTATGAGAGTTTTACTCTTTGGCTCTGGTTTATGATACATTCGGAAGTTATTTAAGGCTACCAATGACTACCAGTCTGCAGTTTGACCAAGACTATACATACTTCTTGCCCCTACTTCAATTCTTCTATTTAGAGTTTGTCAGACACCAGTGGCTCATACCTGTAATCCTAGCTGCTTAGGAGGCTGGGTCTAAGGATTACAGTTTGAAGTCATTCTGTGCAGAAATGTCCTCCAGCTTATCTCCAATTAGCAGCAAAAAAGCTGAATTAGAGCTGTGCTTTAAGTCGCAGAGTACAAGCTGTAGGCAAGCAAACTGAACAAGAATTTGAGGTCCGGAGTTAAAGCACCATTAGGGAGGGAAAGAGGGAGGAAATGAGGAAGAAAGGAAGGATGTCAGGGTCATGCCAGACCCTGAAGGGCTAAAATATTCACTTTCCTTCTTCTGTGGCCATGTGTTATTAAATGGATCTCCTCTCTCAGCCCTCTGTATCTTTATTGGCATGTTGGGATGGGTGATAGGAACCAAACCTGTTAGGACTCCTGAAGCCAAAGCTTTTGCTCTGAAATGTCTGCTGCAATACAGGTCAAGAGTATCCCTAAACCTTCCAAAATCTAAAACATTTTGAGCATTCACATTACATCACAAGTGGAAAATTTACATCATAAAACTTTATTTCATGCACAAAATTATTTAAAATATAGTATGTAATCACTTTCAGAGTATGTGTTTAAGTGAAATCTGTGTTTGGACTTGGGCCTGTCCATAAGAAACCTCATTGTGTATGTTCAAAGATTCCAAAATGTAAATATTTGAAATCTGACACACTTCTAGTTAGGAATAAGGGTCCCTCAACCTATAAGACACTTGTTGGCAAAGGTAAACAAAGAGAAGCTGTTATTCACGAGGAGACAGTGAGTTTCCAAGTCACTTATTTGTGATTTTATTTATTTTTTTTTGTTGCACATGGGGCTTGAACTCTGGGCTTGGGTGCTGTCCCTGCACTCTTCAGCTCAAGGCAATTGCTCTACCACTTGAGCCACAGTGCCCCTTCCAGTTTTCTAGTGGTTTATTGAAGGTAAGAGTCTCACGGACTTTCCTGCTTGGGCTGGCTTTGAACTATGATCCTCAGATCTCAGCCTCCTGAGTAGTTCAGATTACAGGTGTGAGCCACCGTTGCCCGGCTTGTCGGTGATTTTAAAGGAGCAGGTGGTGAAACAAAGGTATTTAAAGTCAACTTAAAGGAAAACGGAATACCAAAGGAGTAATAATTTACTTAAAAAAGAAAAAAAAAAGTTCCTTTGGCTCATTTAGAGACTCCAGTCTAAGATCAGGCAGACTCACTGCTTTGGCCTCTGGTGGGGGGGCACCAGATAACAATGGTATGAAGGACCAGACAGAGCAAACTGCCCACTTCATGAGCCAGGAAGCAGAGAAAAGAAGGAAGGGGCTGGGAATGTGGCTTAGTGGTAGAATGCTTGCCTAGCATGCATGAAGCCCTCAGTACCACAGAAACTGAAAAAGCCGGAAGTGGCACTGTGGCTCAAGTGGTAGAGTGCTAGCCTTGAGCAAAAGAAATTCAGGGACAGTGCCCAGAACCTCAGTTCAAGCCCCAGGACTAGTGTGGTAGTGGGGAGAAAGAGGGGGGAGGAAGGAGGGACTGATGCCTGATAACCCCCTTGTAGGGCACCCCCCCACCCACACAATGACCTAGGGATCTCCCACCAGGCCCCACCTCTTAAAGGTTCTACCACATCCCAACAGGTCCATCCTGGGGGCCAAGCTTGCAATATATGGAACCTGGGGAGGGGGCATTCATTCAAATAAAATTGAGAATAATATTCTCAAGAAGGTAGGACATTCTCAAGGAGGTAGGGTACAGCTAGGTGGCAAGCAGTACAGGAAAACTTAATGCCAACTGTACAGAAGTTGAGAGGTCCATTATAAAAGTTGTAAGGCTGCCCAGTTTAATCTCTCAACAATGCTTTCCCTTGTCTTTTCCACCCTGGGTTGAGGCAGTGACAAGGCCTTCACCAGATGTAAACTCCCTTGACCTTGGACTTCCCAGCCTCCAAAAATGTAAAAATAAATAGAGTTTATTTGTTTATTTATGAATAAAATAACTTTACCTTCTTTATAACTTACCCAGTCACTGGTAGTCTGTTATAGCAATACAAAATTGACTAAGATAAAGGGATAAGGGCTCCATGGCTGAGCCAATATTGGTATCTGGTCATTTCATTGTGATTCACTGGATAATGTAGGACTCAATGACATTCCTGGAAGAGAATTCACTTGGATTTCCAAAAGTTGGGACAAAAATAAATTAGTAGTTAAAAGTACATTCTGACCGGTTTAGTCATGGAATAAAAATAATTTGTCACCAAAGCAAGCTCCTGATGAATTCAGGTTCATTTCTATTTTTTTATTTTAGGCAAATCTACACAATGGAAGAGAACATAAGAGCCAGAGGGAAATGCCAGGAGGCCTATAAAATAGGCCTTTGTTCTCTCTTTTTGCTTTTTCTTTCCTTATTTTTGTTTTTAGTTTTGAAACAAAGAAAAAGAAAAATGATATACATGTCCATCATTTGAGACAATGACAGAAAAAAAACAAATAGGCCCAACTCTTTTTTGTTTTATTCCCTACTCCCTCACTTAGGCCCAACTCTTTATTTTGCCCTTGAACTATTTTATCAAAAAGGACTTATAACCTGAAAACAGACAAAAAAATAATTAAAAGGCAAATTAAGTTCAAACTAGGTAAGGAGACATCTAAATAGTTGTTCTTACATGAGCTACAGTATTCTGTCCTAGCCAAATTGTACCTTTGGGCACTGACGCACTTTATCTTCATGATTATGTATCAAGTAGAAATCTTTGAGAAATCAGAAAATTGTAGAGAATGAGAACAGACAAAATTGCCTTGATTTTTCACACACATACACACACACACACACACACACACACACACACACACACACACACATACCCCACAAACACAGAAACAGTTTCTAGAAACAATAGACCAGTAAATTTGGCATTAATCCATATAGAATTCTTTCTAAGTTGTCCATCAAATATTCCGTGAGATTAAGAAAATGGCAAGCACTAATAATCCCACAGATTCAGTTAAAAACAAAGCAGGATTTCGAACGAGCCAGAAGAATCTTAAATGTTCTCACTCCTAAGAAATAAATTATCCTCATTTGATCATTATGTATTGCATATATGTCTTAAAATATCACATTGGCCCCCATTACTGTGTATAATTATAATATATCAATTAAAGATAAAAATTTCTTGGGGGGGGGGGGCTGGGAAGGTGGCTTAGTGGTAGAGTGCTTGCCTTGCATGCTCGAGGCCCTGGGTTCAATTCCTCAGCACCATATAAGCAAAAAGAAAAAAGCCGGAAGTGGTGCTGTGGCTCAAGTGGTAGAGCGCTAGCCTTGAGCTGAAGAGCTGAGGGACAGCGCCCAGGCCCAGAGTTCAGGCCCCACGACCGGACCCAAAAAAAAAAAAAAAAATTTCTGGGGGGGAGCAGGAGAGGGATGAGTGAGAATGTTAAAGGGGTGACATTGATCAAGATATATTTGATTTATAAACTGCTTTGTTAAATGGCAACTCCTTTCTACAACTACTTGAAGATAATAAAAAATAATAAAAACGGATCAAATGTATGGAATAGCTCTTTGAAAAATCTGAAAGTTGAAACAGAAGAGCCAAGAAAGCATGGTATATTGTTAAATATACCATACTTTCTGAAAAAATAATTAAACATTTGTAAAAACAAGAAGAAAAAATCAAGACAAGCCAAATGAATACCATTTTCTGTTTTAAGAATATTAACAGATTAAAGAAATTCAGACAGATCATGCAATTGTTTCTAACACATTTATAAGATTATTTCTTTGTCGCTTTGTATGTCCCTCCCCCACAGTATAACCCCTGCTTTCACTGTATTTGATGTCGGTATAATTTGTGGAGGGGAAGGGGAAAAACAAATCATTTAAATAGGGACACA